TCAGATTGGCGAATGAAATGACCTTTTTTTGTAGTCGTCCGTTGGCCGAGCTAAGCTTGGTTCTATCGCCGTAACCATGAGGTTGTAAGTTCGAGACGCGTGCCCGGGGACGCGTGATCTTCTTGCGTTATTCATCTATTATTGTTGCAGTTCTATTTTGTCAAGCATATATTTCCAATGTTCAATTTTACTCCATCCTTCTCCAAAGGACTTCATTTATGCTTAAATATAAAATTCTATATACCCTAGCTTGGTGCAAGGATGCCTTACTCGTTTACAATATGTATCATGATAACGTCCCTTGATATTTCAAGCACAAGTGTTCCAAATATGGGTTTTGACTATTGCCATTTGGGTTCTACACCTTTGGGGTTTGCACTTCTGAATTACCCGTTTCATTATTTTATTCCTTTTTGATATTTATATTTGCAGGCAAACGGTTCTGCGAATGGCAACAAGACAAATGAGCAAAGAGATCAACAAGTCCCAATTACTGTGCCCACTGATGAAGAAAAGAAAGAACAAATGAAACTTTTGGACAGGTAATATGAATATTTTTTCACTTTCTGTCCAAACCGTCTTTGTTTAAGTAAGCAAACTAGGCATTTGTCTTATTGTATTCCTTCACATAGGCCTACCTAATTTCTAAAAATGTAAAAAAACATTTTTATGACTTCATTCAATCCTAGGAAATATAGATTTTAACATTTTCAAAAATCAAAAATGAGCATACATTCCAATGACTACAATTTATATGCAAATTTTATCTGAGTTGGAAGTACCAATGGTATTCACCAATGGTATTCCCAACTCAGATTGAATCTGCGTCTTACTTACAGGTAAAATTTTTAGACCGTGGCCATTTTTCGTAAAAATTACGAAAATATTCATGACGTTAGTTATTCATTCCACTTTTCCAGATCTACAGAAACTGTATTCAATTAAATGAAATAATCTCTTATCCTGGTTGGATTAACAAATTAACCAAAAATCAAAATTATGAAGATTCACTCAACAATAAACTATGAAGAGTATATTTGAGTTGTTGCTGTATTTGCAGTTTACGGCACGCACTAACAGATCTACTAATCTAATCATTATTCACCCCACCTACCTACTCTAATCTCCAATTACCTATAAATACAGATGTCTGGACTAGGAAATGAGATGTATTTAACAATTTTCCACTTGTTGATATATGTCTTTTACGCTCCATCACTATTATACGGATGATTACTTAATTAAGCATATGTGCTCCTTATCAGGGTTTGCAATAATTTATTGTAAATTTGATCAGGTGCGGTTCATAAATATGTTATTTAAAAAGTTGGGAGAATACTAGTCACGTAGGCGTAGAGTGCAAATTGAATATACATGTAAGTAAAATATATTATTGCGATGGTCATAGATGGCCCATGTTGATTAATGCATCTGGAAAGATTACCCCTTCGTTGGCGGATCCCTAAGGTGGGCCTTAATGGGCATTACTTGGCCTTTTTAAGTTCAGGCCAAATTATTAAGAAAATGGGCCTTAACTTTTCAAAATTTTGGCCCAGCTTTTCAGACTTGAAATGTGCCCCCCCGTCCTGTAAGTTTTCAGATATGTTCTTATTTGACAAAGACATTAACATACATACTGTATACACTAACTAAAATGATTCCTTATTTCCCAACTCGCCAGTTTAAAATGGTTGCGAATGTTTGGGAAAGACATATAGCGAGGTGCATGGAGTCTCTTAAATGAACTCATATTTCATAAACCCCATAAAATCAGATCAAAACAATTGAGAATCTTTTGGGATGCGTATAGAAAGCCCGGGAGAGATATTCCTAGAGTTTCTTAAATGATCATATTTCATTAATCGCATAAAGTCAGAACAAAATAATTAAGATGAAAGCATTGTCTAACAGCAAGACACGCATCAACTAGGATTATATATTTGTCGATATTTCCTTAACTCTCTTTAGATCGATACAACATGTTGCTTTGTTTTGTCATAAAACAGCAACCATTTAAAATAAACTATTCATCATGTTGTTTTAATATTATTAAACAATACGACATAAACGCTGGCAATGCATTAATATTATTAGTTTGGACGATGTATAAAGGGCCGGGTGCAATTCTGTTTGTAACCCGAAGCTCTTTCGTTATTGACTTGGTAATTTCTACGTTTCCTATCACTTTTCAAAAAACAGCATTGACGTATGTGTTAACAATGTTTTCCAATAAGTCCTGCGTATCGTGATCGCTTATCTTTTGTCTAACAATATTTATTGTAATAAATTGTACAAGCACTTATTTTGGTGCATATGCACCCCGTGCAGACAGATCGGCTGAAATAACATTCGTATGATGTGAGACTCGACATTCACCGGGAAAGTAGAAATATTTTGTCACCCATATGATGCAAATTAATTTTTTACTGCTTGATAAATGATGAATGACAGTCGTATGACATATTTCGTCCTCCACATTTGCCTCTATATCTCAAAATATTTAAGGCGAATAACTTTGATATCGTATATGTACTTAAGTATTAACAATGGCTTAGGAGCATCATAAAACACGAATCAATTGATATTTTAGGTGAAATAAATATATTATTATGTGTTGCTGTGTTTGAAAATAGGTGAATGGCGTAAATTCGCCCTATTTTAATGAATTATGAAAACCTTTCGTCTTCCACTTTTCCACGTACAACAGAAAACACATACGTTTGCGAACAAAATCAGCAATTTATTAATAAACTAGAGTTTGTGAGCAAAATAATCATGTATGATATATAAAAAAATTGGTCTCGTATTTTTTGTTTAATGTACACTTGAAAAGTTGAAGGTAACAAAAAATGAGTAAAAAGGTCGCTGTCGACAGATTCTATTTTTCAAACGATATGACGTCACAATATGGGACGCTTATTAGTCTTAGAATTCATCCTTCGAAATAACACTTCCATCTACCTTTATCAAGACGAAAATAAAGTATAATAGTCAAATATTGTTCGTCAAATATTGTTATGGATTGTCAATAACGAATTGTATACGCGCGCCGAAATTCGCAACGGGAATTGGACTTACGCTCTGATATTGGTCAGAATGCACCAAAATGATGTTCAATTTTGTAAATTTTCTGGAGGAGACCTTCCAGAAGGCCCTCCTATTCTTGCTCTGGAATTGGTAAGAATGCACCAAATGATGTTTCTGTTTTCTGGAGACCTCGCGCTCGTTACCGTGTGCTCGTTAGCGTGTGCTTCATTCGTGTCATTCGATACGTGTCTCACTGTGGTATTAGGAATGAAACTTTTTTCATTGCATCTTTCTTACACAAACATCATACATAATATACATACAGATCCATATACATTAGACATTTGATAATGTCATTACACATTTATATTTTACGATTATACGTTGGAACGTTTTTGAGATCATCTCCATTCAGAGTATTTAATTTGACTAAGTTTACAAGGGTATCGTTTTGGAATACAATGAATGAAACTTATAAAAAATGACTGACGCCTTTTTTGTTCGCACGTGTGAATAGTATCTCAATATAAGAGAAGTAGCAACGCTACACGTATACGTAGTTGTTTAGAATATTAATGACGCATTTTCAATTCGACAAATATTATTATTTGCAGGCTGAAACAGTGGGTGGTATACACGTCGGATCCAGCATTCTACTACTGGCTTGGGATAATATCAGTCGCCATTACTTACAACGTTTTTCTTATTATCGCCCGATGTGTGTTCGATCAGCTTCAGACTGGATATACAAGCGTTTGGCTGCCTCTTGACGTTGTCAGTTATATATTATACATATTAGATATGATTGTACAATTTCGAACAGGTAATATATACACGTCATAGTTAAATAATTTATTTCGTCTATATAATTCAAGCACCCGAGCCACTTTTCTATTTTTAAATCTTCTCTTCTAATAAAAACACTTTGTTAAACAATGTGTTTTTCACTTCTGTTTTTACTACCATTTTATTTTTTTCCGATTCATCCATCACAAATAAGTATGACTCATTTCTAATGGAGCGAATACGATTTATGAACGAAATGCTTATTTATAAAAGGGACGCTTAATCTAGAAGATATGTTACTAATCCTACATCGACGTTGCATTAAAATGTAACTTGATAGAAATTTATCATAGAATCCATTGACGATGTATGTTAATAGGCATACAACTATATCCAACTTCAAACGAAACTGTTCACACTTACACTACCCGAAATTTAGACGTTTCGTTGGTCTATTGACAATATTTTTAGAATTATTTTCTGACTTCCGGTTATTTATTTGTGTTGTAACAATATATACAATTGAAATAAGTCAAAAATAAAAATATGAATCTTTGAAAAACTCTAAACATAAAGGCCTACTTTGTATATGGCTCAAGGTATATACTTTTCCTCTTGCCAAACTTTTGAAAGGAATTCTATGCCTATATACATGTATGTGTCCTTTTTATCTATTTCTTATTGATGCCGATCTTGTATTTCCAGGGTATCTGGAGCATGGTCTTGTAGTCACAGACGGTAAAAAACTTGCTAAGAACTACGTTAAGACATGGGCGTTCAAACTGGATACAATTAGTATATTACCTTTTGAGATACTTTATATATATTTCGGTGTTAATACACCACTCCTGAGAATCAACAGACTTTTCAAAATCAATAGACTTTTGGAATTCTTCGACAGAACTCTCAGACGTACATCTTGGCCAAATGCTCTTAAAATAAGCACACTCTTGTTTTATATTATCATAATCGTACATTGGAATGCTTGTTGTTATTTTGCGATAAGTAAGTCCATGGGACTTGGTAGTGATCCCTGGGTTTATCCTCCAGATATCGCAGGGTCCGAGCCAAATGACTTATCTCAGCAATACATGTACTCGTTTTATTGGTCATGTCTGACGCTTCTCACAATTGGGGAGACACCACATCCTCAAAAAGATGTCCAGTATATATTTGTAGTTTTGGATTATTTAATTGGCGTCCTTATATTTGCCTCCATTGTCGGTAATGTTGGTAGCATCATTACCAACATGAATGAAACTAGAGCAGATTTTCAACGAAAACTGGACAACGTAAAACAATATTTGGATATACGGCATGTCGATCAATCATTGGAAAAACGAGTCCTAAAATGGTTTGACTATTTGTGGGCGAATAAACAGTCGCTGAATGAGAACAGCATAATGTCTGCCCTTCCTGATAAACTAAGAGCGGAGATTGCATTGCACGTTCACTTACAAACAATGCAGAGAGTGGCCCTGTTTCAGGATTGTGACCCAGGTCTTTTGAAAGAGCTGGTTCTCAAGCTGAGATTAAGTGTTTTTAGCCCTGGTGATTATGTGTGTAGAAAGGGAGACATAGGGCGTGATATGTACATCGTCAAGCGAGGCCTTCTTACAGTCGTCGCTGATGATGGTACGACTGTGATCGCCAACCTTTCAGAGGGCAGCGTCTTTGGTGAGATTAGTCTCCTCAGTATACCTGGTTCTAAACTGGGTAACAGACGCGCAGCAAATGTCCGTAGTGAAGGCTATTGTGATGTGTTTGTGTTATCAAAAGAGGACTTGTGGGAAACGCTCAAAGAATATCCTGAAGCTAGATCAAAGATGGTGGCGAATGGACGCAGTATTTTATTGAAAAGTAAACAATTCGATGAAGAATTAGAACGGACTGAAAACCTCAGACAGCAACACGGTCATGATAAAATGGCCGACCTTGGTGCCAAAATGACACATTTGCAAGTGAAGGTCACAAAAATGATGCAAGATTTTAACAAGGCTCAAGGTAAATTTAAAGATAGGATTAATACTTTAGAAGATAGACTTCGACAGTGTACATGTGATAATAATCCACTTGCAAATAAATGTACAACGCATAATGATCAAAGTAAAGATACGCTAGTAGCCCCAACAGCCAAACACGAAGAACTAAGTGATGAAAGTTGTTAATCTACTGACGAAAATATTGATATTGGTGGCCAATTCTTTGTTAAATAAACACCCTCGTGGGTCTTTACTTTACCTCATTATTAATGCACAATTTAGTTTAGATATAATTTATACACTTACATGAACCTTATAGTTTGAGAATAAGTTTTTAAAAAGTATAATATAATGTAAGTGAATTATGCACACATATTCATGATTATGTCATTTCTTAGCAAACAGCTTTTCATTTCTATAAAGTACATGCAACTTTTAAGTAACGTTAAAGGTCCCTTGTAAAGTTTGAGAATATGTTTTTATCATTCATCTACTATTTCTCATGACTTTAAAAAGGTTATTTTAGAGATTTTTGAAACAACATTTTTTGTGAAAAAATTGTGAGCTATTTTCAAATTTCTCGCCACTTTTTAATTAAGTGGAACTTTTTTAATCTAAAATATTCCACTATACAGTGCAAAACACATTATCTTTTAATACCATTGCGAAATTTTTAACATAGGACATACAATTTCGATAATAAAATCTCATATCTAATGTTTTATCAATGGTTTAGCATATAAAAAATATGTTGCACCCTGAGTGCCATCATTGTCATTTATGTCATTTATTTTTATCATTGATGTCATTTAGGGTGCAAAAAATTGTGAAAATGACAATCTTTTCGAAATATGTCAAAATAATCCAATGTTGATTGTCCAACTAGGTGGAAAAGAAAGAATACATGTATATTATGTTTTAAATATCACTTTACCATTGATTTCTATGAGAACTATAATTTTAAAATGCATTTTCTCTAAACCACTTTCACGCATAGATGAGTTCATTTCTCGCTTAATTATCAAAAAATTCCCTAAATCTTTCGACAAAAGACACGTGTGAATTTTCGCTTTTGATAAAAGATATGGTGCTCTAAAATTTAGATTTAAATAAGTTCACGAATTTTCAAACAAGAAGTCCTTCAAAAACACTTTTTGAAATTAGAAAAGTTCCACATATATGTATCACATTTTGATAACATTTAAATATATGGGGCCTTTAAAGTACACCTCTGATTAGCTTAAAGTAAGAAATCGTTTGCAATTTCCTTTTAATATAGGTTGAATTTCAATCTAAAAGTTTTCATTATATCCATTCCTTGACATAAATAGATGCCTCTGCTCACAGTGATCGTAGGGGTTTCACATGTCAAGTTAAATAAAAATACTTTATGGGCTACAGAGCACCTTAGTAGACTGAGCCTGTGGAAAACATTGGTGGGGATGTATAAATGAGCGATCGGTGCGGAATCAACGGTCAATTTAGAATTTGAATTAGTGATCGTTTTTAAACTAAGCCGTTATTGTGTTGGGTTTTGACCTATACTCATTATGTTTAAGAATTTTCGCTTTCATACACCATAAGTGTTCAAGATATGCTATCGATATAAATTGTTTTTGCTTTTCGGTAAATGCAGTTGGGATGATACTAAGCTTTGTAAACTTTATCAACTTTCAATTTGGTCAATAAATCAATGCAATTTCTAGTGCACGTACTGATTTGGTGAAACCTTTGACATCATCCCAGTTTATTCAAAATATAAACATCGTGATATCGATACCAAATAATAAAGTATAAGACTGCCAAGAAACAAAAACATTTTGTATCAAAAGTGTAAATATCTTGATCACCAATACTGTATGAAACGCTAAGAACGATGAATAAAAGAGACAATGTCAAAAGCTATGCGATAGAGAGAGGATTTTTGTACACTCGTACACTCGTGCTTTGCTAAAAATGAAGTACAATCCTATGTTCACATTACAATTCCATGGGTACAACATTTAACTGAAGACTCACGACTTAGTTTTTATGAATTTCTGATTCAAAAATACCCGTTGGTTCCGCACCAAGTGATCGTGTTATCCAAACCGAATGTTTTATTTTGGCTTAGACTGCTTAGGGTGTATTTTGTACTTTTCTAATTAGGATGGCCAAAGGGGGATGTTTTGACCCATTGGCATATGATTCAACATTATTAAAATTCTTGATTTATTATCAAGAATATTGTAAATAATAAAATAAACACAATACATTTATTTTTCTCTTTATTCATCTGATTGAAAATATTGTTTGGATTAATAGGTTTAAAACCCGAACGGCGAACATTTGCAAAATATGCTGTATCTAGTACAAAGTTAGGACATTTAACTGCTTCGAATGCTATTTTTCCGAATGAATGTATTTTATGTAATCTTAAAAATACTGTATTTTTTCAAAGAGCATATTCATAGAGGTGGTCGGGATTGTATGTTGGTTTCATTATTCAGCAGGTTGATATGATATCTTCCTTCGGTCCCTCAGAATAAAGCCAATACATATTTTCTCCCTAGTTATAATGTACCTCTATAACGACGTCGACCTTATACCATGGTCAAGAGCAATACACCTAATATTTTGAAAAAATAAAAAATTTGGAGAAATGAAAGAAAAATAGAAAATAGTTGAAACTGAAATTTTTGAATCATTCCTGAATCTGATATCATCCCTCTAATCCTAATAGCATCCCTGGTATCATCTCCACCCCAAATATGTGATTTATCTATTGCTATTAAACCTGATGTTGCTCTGACCATGGTATACGTACTTACTTCCAAAATTAAAAAAAAAACTTTATGTAAATAATGTACTTTAATGTATGTATTTCAATAAAACTATTTTGTAAGATGAATAAATATCATAGAGGCGTTTGTATAAAACTGATTAGATTCTGGACATGCTTGGTAAAGTTAAAGCAGCCATTTTAGATGTTTCTGCCTCATAACTTGTGCGTTAAACATTCTTGATAAGATTCTTTGAACGTATTTCAAAAGATTCAAAATCTAGATTCTGGCATTCTCGAATTCTGACTTAAATCTTAGAACTGATTATCTCAATCCCATAGTTGTCAGAGTCAGGGCGGGATAAAGCGATTTCTCAACTCCTTTTATCATGTATTGGCATTGTACACCGGGATTAACCCGTTTTTAAAAATCACCTTATCCCAGCGTGTAATATTGTAAAAGCCCTTCCTTGCTGTGGAATCTTTGTTAACACTACATCAATTTCAATAAAAATCAAATAGCTTCTGATATTCACTCTTTGCAGCACCTTGAAATACATATTAATAGCTTAAAAGACACAGACTAGCATTGTTTTTCACAATATTTTCATATTCAAAATGTTTTCAGCAAGTTTTGAATTGTCATAAGAAATATGACTGCTGTAGTAATGAGAGACAATAGTTTCCCTGAACTTTCTAAATTCATTTGGAGGTACATGTCATGTGAATAAACGAATTTTTATGATATAACTTTACATAGTGTAAGCCAATGGGACAGGCGTGAAAAACAAACCACTGGAGAAAAGTAGTGCACTGCCATCTATACTAGTAATGGCTCACATTATGTGAAACCCCGACGAGACAGATTATTAAAGTCCCCCCGTCTAAAGTTTGAAAATATTTTTTTATCATTCATTTACTATTTGTCAGTACTTAAAAAGTGATTTTAGAGATTTTTGAACCAAAATTTTTTTTTGAAATTTCTTAATCATCAAATATTTTCTTAATGCATTTCAAAAAAGATTATCTTTTTAACACCAATGCAAAGATTGAACAAAGGACACACTATTTCAATAATAAAATGCCATATTTAATAGGCCACTTCAATGTTTTAGCATATCAAAAATATTTTGAAACATAAGTGATGTCACTAAGGTAACAAAAACTTTTTGAAAAAATTTTTTTTTTCGATATCAATCTTTTCTAAATATGCTAGACTTTCATAAAAACCTATGTTGATTGTCTAACCAGGTTAAAAGGAAGAATAAATTATGTTTTAGATATCATTGTACCATTGGTTTCTATGAGAACTAAAATTTTGAAATGCATTTTTCTCAGAACCATTTTCATGCACTGATAAGTTCATTTCTCGCTTGTTTATCAACCGATTTTCTTAATTGTTTCCGCAAAAAACATGGGAGGATGAATGCTATGCATTGGTATGAATTGTGGCTAATTAAAAGATATGAGTGACGTGTAAAAGTTGGTTTTAAATAAATTCACAAATTTTGGAACAAAAGGTCTATCAAAAACCACTTTTTGAAATTAAAAAAAAAAGTTTCATATATCACACTTTGATAAAATTGTATAAGACTACAATATAAGCCAAAGTGGTTTAAACTTTATATGGGGCCTTTAAAAAATGCACGATCAAACGTGTCAAACGTACAATCGTGCAAAACCACATATTTTTGTTGGAATTTATTGACCACTGAAAAACACAGAAACACTGAAAATGCAAACTAAAAGATGTCACATTGCACATCTGATATGGTGCTCGAGTACGCTAACGTGAATAAAGCAAACGCCCGAAAATATTCTAGTTGTGTAAACATAGTATCTGGGTCCTCCTGAAATTGTGCACATCGTTGCATAAAAATTATGTGTTTTATATGTATGAAACTATATGAATTATTATTAGATATTTAGTTTTATTTGTTATCCTGAAGTTCCTCATCAAAAAATAAATTACTATTTACGTAATATTTTGCTTTCAATTCCATTACAACACAATTTAGACATCTTTCTGTTTTTTAATGCAATTGAATATGCCATTTACTTAGTATGTTCGTATCTCCAAAGCTATCAAACAGTTCAAGTTGGAACATTTGTTCTAGGAATAAGAACAAATTTTCTTTGTTAATCAAGCATGATAGGAAGGGTAACCGGACAACTCATCCCCTAGTCAAGTCACTCCTTGATAAATCAGCCCCTAGACAACTCAGATCATCCTTTAACAACAATTAAGTCTAAGGTATACTTGGAAAGGGAATAATACACTGCATCTTAATAAATACATCTTGAATTATTTGAAATATCATTGTTCACTTTTTTGACACAAAATGGAAGTAGTTCTTTGATGTCAAAGCACTGGGAATTCTTGTGTTGGTATTTATTTATTTGAAAAACGCTTTTAGAGCAGCGGCACTCGATCGGTGCATCCAATACATCATATAAAATATAAATGAGATAAAACATAATATCATGCAAAAGGCCACTAAAAACATGCATACAACTATTGTGCGCACTGCACATGTATTTTCTTCAAAAACAACTTGACATATTTGTCAAACTTCACGTAATCATCACGTCCCCACAAGAAAGTGCCATCTCCCAGAGCCCAACATGTTTTTAGTTGTACACTTCCTGCTAGAAAGTCAGAGGAGAGTTGGTGGTTGCATTTTGACACAACATTATTGAAAAATACATTCCTATCACTACCAAAGTAGGGACAGACAAAAAGTGTATGCTCTTTAACATTGAGGTTACAAAAGAGATATTATACCAATGCCTTGACCTCATCATTGAAAGTCGGAACGAAGGCCAAAACGTCCTGTTCTGGCCATGCTTAAGTTTCTGACCAAAGTCTAAGTATATATAATATTCCTTAAAGAGATTACTTTTTAAACATTTGTAAAAATTTAGGGATGACTTCTCCCCTATTGAAGAGAAAAAGGCTTCATGGCTTAAATAATTTGAGATCTGAATGTATGTTTTATACCAGTTATCATCTTGCCTCTGAAGGATGCCATTCAGACCATGTTTTATTAGAATCTCCTGAATATTGGCAAAATAGGAGAAAGCCTTACTTTCTGACCATTAAGTATTTATTTTTCCTTTGATATCCCTCAGACAATGGAATATTATATTATGATAGTCGATCATGTGAATACATAAATGTATATGCTAATATACCTGATGTTTTGTTTGTGTCTAAATATCAAGTTATTATTATGTTATATCTGGTAATGAAAACTCATTTATCGAATATCCAGGTATTAACTTGAAAGGAGGATATATCAAGGTTCTACAGGGTGTCAAATGAATTTGTTCTCCCCCACATAGATTAAACATCCACACAATGTTGCAAAACTTTTTTGTCTGTATGATATCATGAATTGATTTTATTGTACATTGTGTTGAAGCTTCGTGAAATGTCCATTCTTAATAGAGTGCTTTATATATAAAATAATCGATTTGACGTTTTTCAATGACATTGAGAATAGGTCATAAATCTCTTAACAATGCTTCTCTTGCAGGGTGGCATCTAAGCTGGAGAATGGCTCTTGCTACATTTATTGCATTGATTTGAATTTTCTGCGGGTTTTATTCAGAATTAAAGTGGAGCATTCATGTAATAAGGCTGGCAAAAACATTGTATCATGCATTTTAATTCCGAATTTAACGAACATAACATTGCAATGCTTGGTTAAGGTTAACTTATCATTCCTTGTATTCTTTTTGGTTCTTTTTGAGCTTAACGTCATATTATTTATGTGGAAAGAGTCCTTCATGGACCTGTCAATATGTATACCCAAATATTTATAGTTCTGAACTTCGGAAATATCTGAGTCCCCTAAAATCAAAGTCATTTTTTCTTTATCTTCTTCTTCTAAATCTGTTACAATCTTGGATAACTGTTCAACCAATGTCTAGTACAGTTTATATCAGTATCTAGTCACTATGATATTATGTATCTATTGATTATTTATTAAACAAATTTTATGCATCCACCTTTCACCTTCTCTACAGCGCGCAAGGAGACATGAGCGGATCTACTCAGATGCGAGTAGGTAGTTACCAGTTTCGCCACCAGGTGGCTGATTCGGGGGAAATAACATGGCAGGGTATTACAAAATTCCCTTAAAATTGAATATTCATCAGTTTAAGTTGTTCACTTTTCATATTACCCTTTTGTATCTGATAGTTATACAAATTAAAGCATGTCCAGTAAAAGAAAATATTATCTGCCCTACACAAGAAAAGATATTTCACTTTTTGTGATTTTACAACATGGGCTCTATGGGGAATCTCCCCGACCTAGAAGTCACATTTTTAAAGAAAATTAAATTTTCAAAGTTGATAAACTCTTTTCAAAACCACATTTCTAGATGTAATTCTACATGTAGATTCCAAATATGACATCAGTTTGACTGAATTTTGAATATTTAATGACGTAAATCAAGATTATGTCTACTCGCATCTAGTCTACGGTCAATGGCGCGATCCAGCGATTCTTGTGGTAGTTCTCTCCACTTCTCCTGCAGAACTTCTTTTAGTTTAACAATAGTTTGTGGGGGATTACCATTAACTGCAATAAGCTGCTCCAGGTGCCCCCAATGGTGATAGTCACAAGAGTTGGCATCTGGGGTATTTGGCAGCCATTCATCAGGACTAATGAATCAAGGCTTATTCTCCTCCAGATATTCCAAAGTGACTTTTGCCCGATGGCTGGGAGCGATAGGGAAGGTGAAAGGGGGATGCATAGAACATTTGTTTAATAGATAATTAATTAATACAATATAACATAATACCATAGTGACTAGATACTGATATAAACTAGACATTGAGGTAGACATTGTTTAAACAGTAATATCCAAGATTGTAGCAGATTTAGTGAACATTATGAATGTGTTATTGTTGATCACATAAAATCATAGAAAGTCACATTTTCTAGGAAAAATGGTAAATCTCGGACACATGAACAATTGACCATTGATATTCAAAGTTCTGACAAAAAATCTGAAGCCAGTTTTAGCTTTAGCATTTGACTGGTAAAATATGCCTATCCTTAAGTTTCTGTAAATAATTTTTATGGCAATACCCTTATGTTTAGATACTTTTCTAGCCTTTTAAAAAAGTTGCAAAATATTTTGGCCCACCCTGTATTTGATACGTAATGCTTAACGTCAATTATAATATTATACCTTGGGCATCAAGTATCAAATAACAATATGCATAAATTTTCGAATTTATGGATCTTTCATGGTGCTTTTATTATGAAATAAAGATTAAAATGAAACAGCTTGGGTTAACATTAGCACAATTGTGTACAATACATAAAGTTAGTTCAAAACAGTAACTTCTCACATGTAAAGTTTATTTATTGCAAGTGATATTGCATATGTTCGTTTGTTAGAAATACAATTTCCACATGGATGAAATGTAAAAGTTTCGTAAATTATATTCAAATCATAAATATGATTTATGACTAGTGTAGTTTATATACAGGGTGGGCCAAAAAAACGCCACATTTTTGAAAATGCTATAACTTCTTAAATTTGTGTTACAAAATCATAATCTACATACCAAATGAAACTTGAGGTTGTTATCTAGCCATTGATCATGAATTATACACTTTTACTTGAATAAAATATGTCACCAGCGTCTCATTTAAACATGTTGTGTGCCATGAGAAATAAGCATAATTTGCATAATGTTCCTAAACTGATACGCCTTGATGACCGCAAGCTAACAGCCCTAATTCAAACCCAAGTGAGTATAGGGTATGGGGAGGTCTCCAGGAGATGGTATGAAGGCACCCGATCTAAAAAATTGCTAAACTAAAGCTGGCAATTAAGACACGTTGAAAAAATATATAGCCAACATGTCATTGATACTGCTAAATCAGCAAGGCGACTAAAACTAAAACCTATCATCAAATGGGGTGGCGGACCAATTGAACTCCTCTTTTTAGATCAAATGTAATCCCAGTTGAAGGACTTGTTACATTATATTATTACTAAGAACCCTTGGCACTATATAACTGCAAAATTTGGGGTATGTAGGTTGGAAAATAAAAAAGTTATAGTGTCTTGAAAAAAAAGTGGCGTTTTTTTTGGCCCACCCTGTATATACACTTTTTTTATCTCATATGTATACCTGGAAAATTAGACAGTCCACAAAAATCGGAACATTTTCTTAATAACAATAATTACAAATATTTTTATTGTATGAAAGTGTTCAACAATGATTGTTCTTAAATGTTTAGTTTAATTCAGTTAAATATTTAAAGTGTGCGCCCGACCTGGCTACGTATATAACAGAGTTTATACTGGCGGATTAGACTAGTTCTTTTTTATATGTGTGTGAAAGCTTTCTCTTATTTTTTTTTTCGTTTAGTACGGTTTTGTTATAATTGCCGAGGTCATATAACCGGGATAAAACAATGATTATCGTTGACTGCGCACACACAAAACATTTACGTCGAGTGCAACAGTGTTATTAAAAACAACAAGCTTTAGAATACAAAGCCCAGTAGTGTGATAACAAGCTGTACACTACCACTGCTGCATGTACATATTAGGGCTCATAAAGACTGGATGGGGAGGTTGTGTTTGTCACTTTTAAATTTTACATTTCAAAATTGCCATTTTACATGTCATAATTTCTTGGTTTCATTCGTTTAGCCGATCAAAACATTGTAAAACAATAAATCGTCTGTTACGTATAATCAATTTTGTTCAGTTTTGAGTAGTTGTCAGAATGAAGTTACGTTCATCTGAATCCATGTTTCAAAACAAAAATCATATTTTCTTCACTTCAAAATACTTCATTGAGATGAATGCTCGGAATTGTCGTTTGCAATAACTTATTAGAAGCGTTTAGTCGTACATTTGATGCCAGGTCACCTTCTCGCGTACCTCTTGGGGAGCCCCACATTTGTGTCTGTAAATTCCCCGGTGTAGCCGAGAGCCACAAACTTTCAACAGGTTCGAAATGGCCAATTTCTCTCATATTTGTATACTCATATTTTATTAATTATCACCTACAAAGTATTGCTAATAACTATATGTAATTTCAATAAGGAAACTTATCTGGCTACATGTAAATTCAATATCAACACTAGATGTTTGCTCAACACGTCCTGGCTTACCTTGTGATGACAAACCCTGGGTTTTCGCTATTTATAGTTTATCAACACCTGGACGCATGCGCATTTTATAGTTTATCAGGCACTTTAAGAGCACATTAGAATCGAATTGATTACTGGTGCAGATGAACAGGAAAATATTCCAGAAATGTCGCAATGGTGTAAAAATTGGTTATGGTCACTTTCAAGCAATTCAGAGTAAGAAATTAGTGATTTCAAACTTGGCTCCAGAAAATAGTCTCACCCTTTCTACTATGATGTGTCCAATTGCCACAAAACAGCCAATCCATGGATATAATCGTTTACCATCTATAATTGAAAATGCGAGCCGGATCATGCATTTTCAACAATATTTGAACCGTAAGTCATGCTAAATAAAATGAAGACTGAATAAAAACACCATTAATTCTAATTTAGATTAACTATTTTACCTACTCAGACATGTATTTTAATATTATTGGTTGTATGATTTATCATTTTCAAATAATGGATCGAAGTGTACTGATATGACTGTTTCTGAAATTATTTAATAACTTTCTTCAGAGAACTGGTTTACGTCGTAGCTTATAGTGGCTAGCGGCCTGGACTTGTGTGGTCGTTTTTAAGGGAACCCGACAGTGTTCTTTTTTGAACCCAAGCACATTTTCTTGATATCTTTATGTATGACATCTAGTCATATTTATTACTTTCAAGGATTTTAAAATACGTATAAAATGATTACATGGTCCTTAACCCTACTATTACACCAAACTAGTTCTCACTACGTTCTCGAAAACGGGCTTCAACTGTGTACGAACTGTCTGAGGATGTGTTGAGAACGGTGACAGGTCATCTCAACCCCAAGTCATCTCAACCCAGTCCAACTCAACCCCAAGTCAACTCAACCCCAAGTCAAGTCAACCCCAGTAAAACTCAACCCCAAGTCAACTCAACCCTGTAAAACTCAACCCCAGTAAAACTCAACCCAATTCATTTGTGCAATGTCTAATTTAATTTTTTGCATGATACTTTGAATAGAAAGTTGTAAAAGTATTCCTAAAAAAGACGGTTAAGCTCAAGGTTAATTCATCAAGTTGTCACTATTATTTAATTTAAGACATCTTTTGAAATCAAATTTTAGATAATTAACAATGTAATATAACTTTTTATTTATATGAACATGCATTAACAAAATCATTAACATTTACTAATTAATAGACTGAAAGCATATACATGTAGGTGTAGCCAGGAAAACCTGAAAACCTGATTTTTTAGGCGATCGCATCCCTCCTGACTGAAAGCTGGCTATGCCCCTGGAAAGCAATGGTCATGTTCCAGTTCTCCAAATAATCACGAGTGTCAACCTCATAGGGATTACAACAAAACAAATGTATTAGCAAGATTAATAAAATGACCCATATTTTAATACTATTAGTACCATGTTGAGATTTTGGAGATAAACTCATTATTAACTATAATCTAAAAAGGCAGTGGTCTAAGATTGAAAATCACAAACTGAATAATCAGAATTATTTTTATGAAATAAACTTTCTTATAAGTTTATCAATATATAGAAATAAAGGGGTTGAGTTTTACTGGGGTTGAGTTTTACAGGGTTGAGTTGACTTGGGGTTGAGTTTTACTGGGGTTGACTTGACTTTTGGGTTAAGTTGACTTGGGGTTGAGTTTTACTGGGTTGAGTTGACTTGGGGTTGAGATGACCAGGAAGCGTTGAGAACGAGGTAGAACTAATTGCAAACGGGTTTAAACTGATTAAGAACGTATTTAACACTGCTTATGAACGAGTTAGCAAAAATATAGCTATCACACCAAACAAGTTGCCACTGCGTTTTTCAAAACTGGTTTGAAACTGTGTGCGAACGGAATGAACGTAGCTGCAACTTTCTAAGGTCTATTTACGAACTTAATGAACGTTCTCAGACGGGAATGTGATTTTAGAATTTTGAATCGATTCAAAATTCGATGGCGACCATACCGTTCTGTAATCAGGTCATGTTGACCTTCTAGACTAAGGGACGCGTTCTACGACGTTGCACACCGACGTGGTGCGACCTGAACGAACTGCGAACGAGATGGACGTATTGAAGACTGTTTATGAACGAAGAAGCTAATTATTTCAGACATATTTCCCGACCACAGCCAGATTGAGCCCGTTTTACGACGTTTTCGTAGGACTGGCAAGAACGGGTAAGAACTAGTTTGGTGTGATAGGGGGGTTAGGTACAATATTCAGTTACATTATAATAAAATTTCCCTATTTCTGGAGTCACAATATACATTAACACAAGATGTATCGAACTACGGTAAACAAAATATAAACAACAGCAGTTGTTGATAGTCGGAAAAACTCAAAACAATTTGTAATTAATGTCGTAGGGTTTGTATATTTCAATAGGGATCGATAAGCTGTTGTGTAACTACAAACATATTTTTAAGACAGATCGCATTTATAGTTACTTGTCTCGTTCAGATTTAATATAAAGAAATCGGTGAGCTTGTCAGATACATTCGTCAGAAACATGCGTAATTGAATATAATCACGACGTGAATTGAAAGTGATTCATCTATCCTAAGTCGTGGATTATATTAGAAAACTCAGATTATCATACAGAGTAGTTAATAAAAGAAAGAATATTGAACATTTATACAAGATGAACGATTGTAAATCAATCATACTCAACTCTACGACAGTTTCAATAGTAACTGTCTATAAATTGTTCAATACAAAATATTTATTTAATTGAGCATAATCAATAATGTAGTCGGAGATATAATTGCGTACATGGAAATCACAATAGAGACATCACAGCGAACTAATGACAATTTGTACAGAGCGGTCTGTACACATACCACAGGAACATACAAAATTAGCAACTAAGTGCTTTAATATATATACATGAATATCTAATATGATGGAAAGTGAGGTTGTTATGTAAGATTATTCTTATGTAAATGGATAGTAGAGATAGTAATCCAATACACAAATAATCAAAAAACTATGAATGTAAACGAGGTTTAATAGCATGCTTAGGGACGATAGATTCGTAATGAATTGCATGCTATTTGGATTGAGCGAATGCGTTCATCGCACTGCTAAGACAGCTTCTTGGAACTATGCACCAGAGATTATTAAGGAAATGAGGGTATGTAAAGTTTACGGTACATATTCGCTGCCATGATTATTGTGGTAATATGAATATTCGCTTACATATGTGGGCTTACATTTTATGCGTTGGCATATATAGTTTGCATTATATTACTTTGTGAAAATTTGATAGCCTCCAGATGGGCAAACAATTATGTTTCAATCATATATACCTCGTTATTGAAGGTCAAGACTGGAAATCGAAGAGTATCAATGGATTTACATACACACAATACTTGATAAACAACGCGTGGTAATTGGTCAACGAGATAGTTTGATATATGATATGACTTCACTGAATCCACAAGAAACACACAGAAAATCAGGTGACCAGCACGAACAACGGAATATTTGGGTGGAAGGAGCGGAAGAAGCAGTCACAGAAAAACGGATGAAGTTCCCAGAAAGGTATGCACGTAGTAAACAGTACGTCGTAAACAATGATAAAGGTGTTGCATAATTAAGAATAGAACGCCATTTAGTTGCAGTCATGTGAGAAAGCCCTTTGGATACGCTAATAGCAAAGGCATTTATAAACAGATAATTGTGAAAGTATAAAACTGTTGAATTCCGGATAGGTATATAAATGGTGAATCAATCTTCGGCTACAGCTTTTACATATTTATGTCGAACGCTGGGATTTATATGTCTGAAATATTTGGTCAACCGTGGTCCTATACAATATTTACAACTTCTAACTACACCAGGTGATTGTTTTTTTGCATTTGGCCATTTTTGCACAATCCAACAACCTTCGAAATAATCATCTGCCCTTAAAATGGCTGTTTTAGATTTTCCATTGTTTAAATGTCGTACGATTTGATAAAGTAATGTTGTTGTTTTTTGGTCCAGGAAACGGTTTCTTAGTGTTAGTCACATTTTGCTGTCGTTTCATATGAAATAATGGGCCAATATTCAGGGTTTCGTACTCGTCTCCCAGTTTGATTTTCAAAAATGTCATACCTTGGTAATCCTAGCTAAGATCTACTGGTAAAGGATGTTGTGTAATGTGTTAGGAAATCTGTTATTTACAGCAAATTACAAGTTATACCAACAAAGGGGAGTGATTTATATTGTCAATTTTTTGATATTTTCTAATACTTTGCAACTCGTAATCTCATGAATCTATAAACTCATCAAATATATCCTATAACATCCCATTCTCGCATCTTTATAAATTGATTTATTAGAAGCGACATGAAACATTCATTCATTTCCTGTTGGTATGTAAATACACATTAGATGCTGTATTTAACAATCTACAATATCAGATGTAATTTCTATTTCACTCTTTCTTATGCTTACAGGTTAAAACATTGGGTGATATACCCATCTGACCCACAATTTTACTACTGGCTCGGGATAATATCGGTCGCCATTAGTTACAATATTTTTGTAATTATCGCCAGGGCAGTTTTTGTGCAACTGCAGACAGACTTCAACCGTATTTGGATTCCACTTGATGTACTCAGCTACGTTATTTACATTGCTGATATGATTGTCCAATTCAAAACAGGTGAGTGCGATCGTTGAATGCAACGGAAATGAGGACTCGTTTCTAAGACGGCAAATTACAAGCTTTGGTAACATTATTGCCCATATTTTGAAGACGTAACTGCCATTGAATAATACTTGAATAATACCATAATATTCGTTATTTACATATTTTAACGAAAAACTTGGTCCCAAGAGAATTTTATAGAAATATTTTTGACAAAATTGTTCCACGCCGGGCAACGGAGTATTAAGTTTAAATAATGGCTGCCAATCCCCCTTGTCTTCAGACCAAGTATTTATTCGAGAGATAAACATTTACCCAGTGTACACGAAATATGGTAATACTAAACTCCATTGGCAGTGCTAGTCTTCAACATGTGGACAATATTGTTGTTGCCAAATTGGCCCATACCAGTCAACGAAGGATTGGGTTGGACTCATGGCTATCAATCCTCATCGACTTGGTTAAGTTCTTCACTTCCTGTCCAATCGGTCCGAACGTAATATTGAGGTAGAGTAACCTGAGATGATGACACAAACATTATTAAAATGTTTGAGTAGTGTCCAATCGATATCATCTCTTGAATTCAGGTAGAATAACCTGATATGATTACATGAACATTATTAAAATGTTTGAGTAGTGTCCAATCGATATCATCTCTTGAATTCAGGTAGAATAACCTGATATGATTACACAAACATTATTAAAATGTTCGAGTAGTGTCCAATCGATATCATCTTTTGAATTCAGATAGAATAACCTGATATGATTACACAAACATTATTAAAATGTTTGAGTAGTGTCCATTCGATATTATCTCTTGAATTCAGGTAGAATAACCTGATATGATTACATGAACATTATTAAAATGTTTGAGTAGTCTCCATTCGATATCATCTCTTGAATTCAGGTAGAATAACCTGATATGATTACATGAACATTATTAAAATGTTTGAGTAGTGTCCATTCGATATCTCTTGAATTCAGGTAGAATAACCTGATATGATTACACGAACATTATTAAAATGTTCGAGTAGTGTCCAATCGATATCATCTCTTGAATTCAGGTAGAATAACCTGATATGATTACACAAACATTATTAAAATGTTTATGTAGTGTCCAATCGATATCATCTCTTGAATTCAGGTAGAATGACCTGATATGATTACATGAACATTATTAAAATGTTTGAGAAGTGTCCAATCGATAACATCTCTTGAATTCGGGTAGAATAACCTGAGATGATTACATGAACATTATTAAAATGTTCGAGTATACAGTGTACAATCAATATCATATCTTGAATTCTTAGACACCATTTACATCTATTTTTCATCTTTTCATACTTCTTTTTTACATGTTGGAAGTCACAATACCAAGTTGTTTTTAAAATCAAGGCAATTATATTTCGTTTTTAGTTGCCATTTCATAGGCACATCAGGGTATACTGAATAACTAGAAATTATTGAATCAAGACAAGTATATTGACAATTAGGTACAGTTTCTAGTTGGTAGGAAATTGGGTCAAATTTTGATCTAGGTCAAGAAGTTAAACCCAGTACTTTGTAACTTTTTCATTTTTCTCGGTCATCTTTAATATTTTTGCTCTGGTTTTTATTGCGCTCCTCATAAAAAAGTAGAAAACTTAAACAGTTTTGATATCTCGAACCGATTTGGAGATATCAAAATATGTGTCCGCAGACAAAAGAGGTCCGAAAAAAGTTCAATTTCAACGTGTGAGGTGTTACATTAATAGGACATTTTCTCAGAATCCGAATCTGAAATCAGTATCGAAATTCGACTTCCGGTTAAGGATCTGTGACGTTTTGTAATCTCCATAACCGGGCTCCATAATCACAGCACTGGTGATCCTCTCGATTACGCTGGTTACCGAAACGGTTCGTTTTGGTAACAAAATGTCGGAACGTCGAAGGTACGGTTATTCTCTTTTCTTTATTTCACACGTTGTAGGCAGAATTCCCACGACATTTTTACCACAAACGTGTATGAGTATCATATGTTTAAGAAAATGTGCATATGTGCGAAAAAATAGTTCAGAAGACAACAGAATCGTCGATTTAATTCTTCACTTAAGTTACATAAACAGTTTTCGAAAAACAGTTAAGATCTGCACTTTTAACCCAAACCGTTTATGTAACTTAAGTGAGGAATTAAATCGACGATTATGTTGTCTTCTGAGCTATTTTTTCGCAAACATGAACATATTCTATAACATATGATGCTAATACACGAGTGTGAGAAAAAAACGTCGTGGGGATTCTTCCCAAAAACGCGTGAAATAAGGAAAAAAGAAAAATCGTACCTTCGACGTTCCGACATTTTGTTACCAAAACGAACCGTTTCGGTAACCAGCGTAATCGAGCGGATCAACAGTGCACAGGCTGGTATCGAAACATTTGTCCGCTGTGACGGAGCATGTTATTTTTCATAAAAACACAAGAAAACCACGAAATTTATTTTTAACTCATATGTTTCGTTATACCAAAGAAAATAACGTACTCCATGCAATGGGTATATCATTTGTGGGTAACTTTCACTTCTGTTTGAAGTCCAATAACGCTAGCAGGTAAAGCTATTGGAAATGGCGCCGGAGTATCATACTCTAAAATGTACCATTTCTTATTTAACTTTTTAATGGCACGATATAGTGACACGATAATATTTACATATGTTTTCAGCATTACTATGAAGGTATTAATGAGATGTTGATGTTTTGGATGATTTTAATTCTTTAATAAAAAAATAATGTTTTGCAAAGTGAACTGTGAAACTGCTCCGTCACAGCGGACAAAAAATGTAAACATTATTTTTTATCAAAAAATCAAAAATACCCAAAACATCAATATCTCATTAATAAATTCAGAGTTATGCTGAAAATATATGTTAATATCGTGTCACTATATCATGTCATTAAAAAGTTAAAAAAGAAATTGTATAACATTTTAGAGTTTGATACTCTGGCGCTGTTTTCAATAGCTTTTACTCCGAGCGTTATTGGACTTCAAACAGAAGCGAAGGTTACCCGCAAATGATATATCCATTGCATGGACTAAGTAATTTTCTTTGATATAACATAGCATATGAGTTAAAAAATAAATTGTGAAGTATTCTTAGTGTTTTTATGAAAAATAACACGCTCCGTCAAAGCGGATAAATCTTTCCTGTAAATCAAGGCTAGTCATTAGTAAATCGTTTTTGATTACTCTTACCGTTACACAGTTACCATCTCAAATACTTACTCGGCTCTTTACTCAACTATCTAGGTCAATTAAATCTGGAGTTTGTTAATTAAACTTACCATGTTCTAGATTTTCTCGTTTTTCAGTTATTTTGTAATGACGTATAATGACATTAAATACGGTTGCCAAGAGGACAGTGATTACGCACGAATCGATCATGTTGTCAGCTTTCCATTGTGTAAAAGTAAACAAGACATTTTTAGCAAGAAAGAAGAGTCTCACGACACGTTTTAGTCAACCTTGTTAATGGTTAGATATAGACTATAGCCACTTAGAGAAATGCCATAAGCCTCTTAATATATAAATCCCTCGCACTGATTACAATATTCCCTGGCGTAATAGCTGACGGTTTTGTTCGAAGTTTGTTATTGTGATAACCCAATGAGTTTAATGCTGAAACAAAATAATGATATACCCTTGAACATTCATAGATTATATCTATTATTTATACAACTGAGTCCCATCGATAGCATAAATGAAGATTAAATACGCGATACGTCGATGTCCTGGAATTATAAGGTTTTGTGCTTAAATGGTTCATATTGCATATATTATTTATTTATTATTTATTTATTTATTTATTTTCGTCTCACAGCAGATTTATTTTACAGATACTAATAGTACTAAAATGTCATAATAAAAAACACTGCCCCAGCCAGTGCGGCTTATGAGAGACGTTTCATACATGTATATTAGAAGTATTGCACATATAGTTATGTCAAATGACTGTCGATCAATAATTTGTCACATAGGCTAAATCATTGCCCATATAGTATAAGATACAATGTAGTAGTTTCTAAAAAAAATAAATAAATACATTAATATTTACTAACTACATAATCTTTGTTTATCACATATTTGTTTGTCTGTGTTTGTACATAAGGAATACAGTTTTAGATACAATAAAAGCCATCTCTGGAGAAGTACTCAGGGTTATAAACTGGTCATTTTTACTTTTGTTTAGGAAGTCAGGGTTGCTGCTTTGAGCTTCTGATATCATAATGCTTCTTAAATCCTCATAGGCCGGACATTCTACAAGGAAATGTTGTTCATTTTCAATTTTATGATCATCACACATTTCACATGTCCTGTCTTCAAGGGGTGTCTTGGGTTTGGTGAATCTCCCAGTTTCTATTTTCAGTGGTAAAACTCCACATCTTAGTTTGGAGAATGCACTTCTTTGATATCTAGGGAGGTTGATTTTTGTATAGCTTTCAGGCTTAAACTCACTTTTGATTGTTTTGTAAGTTCTTAGTTTATTATTTGGTCCTATTTTACTCAGTTCTTGTGTCCATTTTTCTGCATCAAACTTTGAGACTTGTTTTTTGAAGGTTGTCATTGGCGTTGATAAAGTAGTATTTCTATATTTTGTTGATATTGATTTTTTGACGTAAAATGTCCAATTTTTCATTCTATGGGTATCAGCTTGTTCATTTGACCAGTTGAATATTCTTTTGTTTATCCTTGAATTTGTCATTTTATCCAGCCTCTGCCATAGTCTTACTGTTTCAATATCTTGTCGTGATTCCATTGATAGCCATCCCATGTCTCCACGGGTGGCTAGAGTTGGTGTTGTTGTTTTAACTCCTAGGAAGAAACGACAGGCTCTGTTGAGAATGGTGTTAATTAGACCATATGGTTTGGTACCCCAAACACCTGCTCCATATAGTAGCACTGGAGCAACCATACTGTCAAACAGCTTGGTGTAGACATCATACTGGATTCCTCCAGTTTCTTTGAATTTGGTGTTGATTGAGCCAAGTGCTCTTCCTGCTGATTTAGCCAGGTGTCTCACTGTACTTGTCATGTCTAGGTGTTCGTTGAACCAGAGACCTAGGTATTTGTATTCACGTGTGTACTTCAACACTGTGTCTTCAAGCATAAAAACATGGTCTGATTGAGGTGTTGTACTTGCTCTGAAGTGTATAACTTTGGTTTTTGTATCATTAATAGTGAAGCGCCACTTATTGCACCATTGTTGTAACTTGTCTAATATTGTTATACTATATATCTATCAAATTGCTTCTGACGTGAGATAATTTGTAATATTGTTTGAAAAAGAAATAGCTTGGCTTGATAGTATTTCTAGTTCAGATCCTCGCCTTTTTTGTCACCCTGTACATTGTGATATTTATAGAGTGATCTTACCCTACTATCACACCAAACTAGTTCTCACTACGTTCTCGAAAACGGTCTTAAACTGTGCACGAGATATACTATTGAATAGTTTGGGGATCTTCCGCGCAACTCTTTTGGAGTGAATCTCATTAACGAAATCTTTATATTTTGTTACATCATTACCTGTATCGTCCAATGGACGCATATTTTTCATTGACATATAAATTGGTGGAAATAATAGAGTTTTATGTTTATGACCGTCTCATAACTTCATTACATTCCTGTTAGGTATGTCACCAAAATGGGCTAAAGGGACAAACAAAGATTTTAATAACACATTAAGATGAATTAAAGTAAAAAGCTAATCAATTAAGTTGAAACAAACCCCAAACATCCCGCCCTTTTTGTTGTATTCGTTTATTTAAAGTTGCGATCACAAGCCAAAGCTTGATTCAAATTAGAAGAGTCCTTTTGTTCATACAACGTAACGCAACGGACATTATAGAATCATTGTCATTAGCTAATGATATCTTATAATTGCAAATTCATTTGTCGGCGATATATGATTCTATCAAATTGCTTCTGACGTGAGATAATTTGTAATATTGTTTGAAAAAGAAATAGCTTGGCTTGATAGTATTTCTAGTTCAGATCCTCGCCTTTTTTGTCACCCTGTACATTGTGATATTTATAGAGTGATCTTACCCTACTATCACACCAAACTAGTTCTCACTACGTTCTCGAAAACGGTCTTAAACTGTGCACGAGCGGATTTGACGTACTAAGAACCCACTAAAAACCGTTTGGGATCTGTTTACAAACTTCATGAAACTACTAGAACGAGTAGGTCCTCCAGAACTTAAAGCATGCTCAAATTTTTCTGGTGATCGTCAAAACGTTGCCGAATCGGTTTTAAACTGTGTGCGAACTGAATGAACGTAGCTACAACGTTCTACGGTCTTTTTACGAGCTTCATGGACTTTCCCGGACGGGGAATGTGATTTAGAATTTTGAATCGATTCAAAATTCGATGGCGACCATACCGTTCTGTAATCAGGTCATCATGACCTTCTAGACTAAGGGACGCGTTATACGACGTTGCACACCGACGTGGTGCGACCTGAACGAACTGTGAATGAGATGGACGTATTGAAGACTGTTTATGAACGAAGTAACTAATTATTTTAGACATATTTCCCGACCACAGTCAGATTGAGCCCGTTTTACGACGTTTTCGTAGGACTGGCAAGAACGAGTAAGAACTAGTTTGCTGTGATAGGGGGGTTAGAATTGCACTACTCTGATTTGAATTGACTTTCTAAAAGATGGAATCTTCTGTGTGCATTAAGACTGTTCAACCAAAATAAAACTGGTATACACTGTACTAACATTATATGCGGCTCTATGGTTGTTCATTACTTGTATTGAGCAATCACGTTTTCCAAAATGTAACCATATAAGATAACAATTGATAGTTCATTGTTTAAAATACCACGACTTATGATACACTATGGTTGCCTTTATAGTATAGTTGTCTTTAAACTGTTCTATCATGCATACTATCGATACCAGCAGGATAACATTTGACTGTATCTGATAGTGATAATCCTTTCGTCACAAAAATGAATCAAAATTCTAAAGGCCATAAAAAGATGCATATGGCTATTTTTTAACATTTCAGTTTTATTATTGTGGCTCAAACATTGTATTACCATGTCCACGTTACAACGCTACATTATAAATTGAGAAGTTTAGAGAGTTTTTAAAGGATTGGTTGTTTTTTCGACCACTAATTGAGAAATACTCCAACTATAACTACTATTTCGAGAATATCACGTCATTTGCTTGAATTAACATAAATCCTGATCCATGTTTATGTTTATGTTTCTTTAACGTGACAGATCATTGTCAATGTAATGAGAAATTTCAATCTGAAATGATAATTAAACGTGATTCAATTTAGTATGCAATAATTTACATAACACGATTCTCTGAAAGGGATGGGATGAAGAATACCTAAGTGCGCATCACAATGAAAACAAATTCTAACGCGAAAATTAACTATTCCCCAGTGTTTTGAAATCACTTTGTATGGGATTGGTAGCGTAGTGAAAGAAAAATGCTGAAAACACCATTTGTTAAGATAAGAAAAAAGGTGCGGATCATCTATTCCTGTATTCCAGTTCGCACTCCGTAAGTGACATCGCAGATACTGTAAATTGGTTCACTAATAATGACGTTTTCGCATAATGTATCATCGTACTTTTAACACTGTAAAATCTATTTTTAACGCCGAAAAAGATTTTATACTAAACAGATTTGAACCTCGTTAAAAACGACTTTGAACGGCGTCATAAACGATTTTGTAGGGTGTCGAAAATGATTTTGAACGTTGTCAAGGATTACACGTGATACGTAAATTAAAGCTTAGCTAGCAGCCAATCAAAACCAGCGTTTGCTTTGATTGGATGTGCAAAATTATATTTTGACGCAGTTTAAAATTGTTTCTGACTCCGTTCAAAATGATTTTTGATGGCATTCAAAACGTAGTGATATGTAGAATGAGTTATAAAACATCAAAGTAAAGCAATACTTTCTATCAAAATGATTCATTGTTCGTCATTGTGGATATTTTTCGATCTGCATATCACATTATTTCACAATTATGGAATTAAAAACACTTGTACGAACAATATTGCAATGTGTGGCACGGTTTAATAGATTGGTATACTATTGATTAGAGCGCGTTTGCCAGAGTATGTAATATGACAATGCTTGTATATAGTTGTTCTAACATGTTTTATTTTCTTTGTAGGGTATATGGAACAAGGACTGAGGATCTCCGACAGTAAGAAGCTTGCTAAACGTTACATCAAGACTTGGACCTTTAGATTTGATGTTATAAGTATACTACCGCTCCAACTTCTGTACATCCAATTTGGGGTGAACGCACCGCTTTTGAGAATCAACAGAATTTTCAAAGTCAATAGACTTTTTGAATTCTTCGACAGGACGCTCAGGCGAACTAACTGGCCGAATGCTATCAAAATATGCAATTTGCTGTTCTATATTATAATCATAGTGCATTGGAACGCGTGTGGCTACTACGCTGTTAGCAATGCTATGGGTTTTGGTTCTGATTCATGGGTATATCCACCAAATGGAAACACGGAACCGTCCCGTCTGTTAAATCAATATGTATATTCATTCTACTGGTCGTGCCTCACACTGCTAACAATAGGAGAGACCCCCCATCCTGAGAATAATATCCAATATCTGTTTGTCATAACTGACTTCTTGATAGGGGTGCTAATTTTTGCCTCCATTGTTGGTAATGTTGGTAGCATCATAACCAACATTAATGAGGGTCGCGCTGACTTTCAGAGAAAGCTAGACAATGTAAAACTTTATATGCACCTAAGAAGTGTTGACAGACCTCTAGAAAAACGTGTTCTCAAATGGTTTGATTACTTATGGTCAAATAAGCAATCCATGAGCGAAAACAGTATTGTTGGAGCCCTTCCAGATAAATTAAGATCAGAAATTGCACTTCAAATTCATTTACAAACTATACAAAGAATAGATATATTTAAGGATTGTGACCCAGGGTTGCTGAAAGAACTAGTTTTGAAACTAAGACTTTGTGTGTTCAGTCCCGGGGATTACATTTGCAGAAAAGGAGATATTGGTCGTGATATGTACATAGTAAAACAAGGCCTGCTTACAGTTGTAGCGGATGATGGTACTACTGTACTTGCGACTCTGTCAGAGGGTAGTGTTTTTGGAGAGGTTAGTCTTCTTAGCATCCCCGGCTCAAAATTTGGTAATAGACGAATAGCCAATGTACGAAGTGAAGGATATTGTGACGTGTTTGTGCTAACTAAAGAGGACTTATGGGAAACTCTCAGGGATTATCCCGAAGCTAAAACTAATATGGTGAATAATGGACGCATGATACTACTAAGGAGAGAACAATTTGATAAAGATTTGGAAAGAAAAGAGATTTCCAAACAACAACGGAAGAGTATGGGTGTGGATGACTTGAAGAAAAACGTATTAAAAATGCAAGGGAAAATTATGCAAATGATGTTTGAATTTGAAAATGCTCAAGAAATATTTGACAAGCAACTTAAAACGCTGGAAAACAGCTTAGCTAATTGTAAATGTATTATTAGCGGGAGAAATAGTAGAAAATGTAAATAAATCCTCATATATAAATCTTAATTATGCTTTACGTTTGACAGCCGTTACCTGTAGGGATCGTGTCAAATAATTAAACCGTAAAGCGCCACTATAAATTGTGAAAGCACATAGACCTCCTTGCGACCGGTCTGGTCGTAAATTAGCTATCTAAAAATGAGTTTTCCGATCAAATATTTTGGCAATTGAAAATTAAATATATACAAAAAATTGACCCGACAAAATCGAATGTTGAACGTAAAAACTATGTGAAACATTTTGGGCTCCTGAAAACAAAAAATGGGCCCAAATTTTGAAAATGTAAAGCCCATTTTTGATAATTTGGCCTAAAAAGCCCCAAAAAGTCCCATTCCGAAAATAATTGGGTCGATCTTTATTTTTTCTTGTTTGACTTTTCAATTCAAACTTTCAAACATATTAATGTTCTTATTCGACAAGGGTTTTTCATATCTGAAGACTAAAACATTTTCTCTGAAGATATTTTTTCCTAAATTGATATTTTGGAAAAATTGCTTTTGATTTAATGTTTTTAGATTTTTATACAATTTTTTACTGTTTTATGTTTCAAACATTAATTCGAATATTTAAAATATATCAAATGGGAAATTAACATTGAATTTTTAGCCACGTCTGACACTACACCTGTATAGGTTCCCTGTGATTGTCGGCTAGTTAAGAGCTAGAACAACTCAAGGCCAACATCCGAAGATAATTCTAAACATTTCACTTGAATGAACACAATTTTTTAAAAACTTAAGCAATGCCCAAAAGGCCCACTAATTAAGGCGCTTCAAAACTTTTGGGCCCAAAGGGGATCCCCCTGGATCCGCCAGTGTTGGGGACGCAGGTTGTTGTGAGAATATGAAATTAGATTACCAAAAAAGCAAAACTGAACTAAAAACATAAAATGTGTACACTTTTTTGAGACACCTTGTATAAAAATAAATCCCGGTAATGTCAGTTTGTTATTTCATGATCAATTACCAAGTTTATTTAGGGAGGAGCAGATTTTCTCGGGACCCACCTTAGGGATGGGAATGCCACATGTCCGCCACTGGGATCAGAGCCTTAGAATTCTTATATTTATGAACAAACTTAGTAGGAGGGATTAGGAAAATAAGGATATAGCTTCACATGTGTCTGTATTCTGTCACTGGGATTCACTTGGGTTAGGAAAATAATCTGGGCTTTTATCCTCTTGTATGATCGTCGAATCAATAAAAGTCGAGGAGTTAAATATTAAAAGCAGGGACACAGAATGGAAATACTTACCACCTACTAAACATGGGAAAAAATTCGGCCTTTTGAATTTGGGCAAACATCTTCAAAAATTATAATTCATTTCAGGGGTCTGCTAGTAAAGATTGTGCAAATAGGCATAAAACCAAGAAAAGCGTTTATCTAATGAGTATGAGCATTTATGCTTTGTGTTTTGTTAGTTTTGTCCTCATGTCTTATCAAGTTAGAACGCCATAACCCTGTTGTAAAAATACAAGGCTACTCCTTATTAGATGTACACTGTACATATCAAGTAACGCTCTACACATGTTTGTATTAGCCTGGTTTTTAGACTTGATTCGTCAGTTGCTCAGTTCACGAATATAAACATTCACTTTAACAGAAGACTAGTAAAGAAACTTGAGTTGGCAACATAATAAAACGAGCAATGGCCGAAATACCTCGCAACACTTTCGGGACTTGGGACTATGTGATCTTTGTCGCCGTATTATTAGTTTCAATCGGAGTTGGACTTTTCTTCGCATTTACTGGTGGACGCCAGAAAACAAATAATGAGTTTCTCATGGCAAATAGGCAGATGAACGTGGTACCTGTTGCAATATCAATGGTGGTTACCATTATATCTGCTATAACGTTAGTAGGGACACCAGGGGAAATGTACACATATGGCAGTATGATGTGGCTCTATGCTCTTGCAGCCGCCTTTGGGTACATCTTAGCAGCCATTCTGTTCGTTCCCTTATTGTATCCGCTTAAGCTGACAAGCGCTTATGAGGTAAGTGTTGTGTTAAAGGCATTGAAGTAACAAATACATGACTGATGTTGACCCCAGGGAATTATACTTCCCATTAAATTGATCGATATAGCTTCACATGTGTCTGTATTCTGTCAGTGGATTCACTTGCTGATATCTAAAATAGATATTGCATTGTGTTGTATATCAATAATATTATCTGCATCTCTAGTTTTGGAGCGTCAACACCATAAGATTAATTTCATTTTCCGATACAATATAAAATGATTTAGATATGTTTTAAAACATTTTTTACTTCCCAAAACGCAACTTTATATGGGCCAATTTACGATAATTGATATATTTAAAAATCTGTGTTGTTGTACTAGAGACTGTGCCATATACGTTGATTTCATAAACATGCAATGACTTATTTTTTGTTGACAAGCCTTCCACAGGGTATTTGTTTGGGACAATTTGTTTTGTTTAATCCTTTCTAAAAATTGACAATAGACAAACTTTTTAGACAATTAACAATTTTTTCAGCAAATATAAACTCAAATTTCTTAATCTATAATGTATCTACATGTACATATACAACACTTTAACAAAATGTATGTGCGACCGGCTCCTGAAAGCTGGATGTTTGACATGTCTTAGTCACATAATCAAGTATGTTTTCCTATACATATATTATAAACGATTTGTCAAATATTGTATTCTCCAAAACATTGGCTATAATGACATACACCATTGGTACATAATTTAGTGAAAGCTAGGCCAGAAGGTGTATTTTAATAAAATATCTAAAATTGCAGACAGTGGAGATAAATGTGTTGGTATTTCTGTTGTGAATTCAAGTTGTCTAAATTAGGCTATCCAATATTTTGTATCCTCCAAATATTAAAATATCATCTTTGGGGAAAAAATATTTTTAGATTATTATTATGAGAAATGAAAGTACTTAAAGGCAGAATCTGATCTGTAGGGGGTGACACTATTACAAGCAACATGTATAATTGACCTCCAAATCTATTTCTTACAATATCAAATACAATATCTCCCAAAAGATTCACGACATGTTATAAATTGGTGAAGTTATTAATGATTCAAAGTGAAAAAATAAGTGAAAAATGTTTAAATTCTCCCAAATAATAACCATTCTTATAGAAAAATAATACATTATTGTAGAAATCTCCTGGAATAAAGTATGCACTTTTGTGATTTTTAGAAAATAGGCATGACAAGGAATGACATGAGCCAAAAATATTCTAAAATTGAAACAATTTTTTGTTTAGCCTGCTCGCTATATCTGATTCTCTCTTTAATTGAAGCGTTTAAATCATCGTTATTTAATATTTTTGAATATTTTCAATTGTTTTTTTAAAACCTTATTAAGCATGTGTTGGAGGATACAGAATGACTTTACAATGATGTGAAATATGAATGTACAATCAAAAGTTAGTTTTATTCGTATTTCTATGTTTATATTTAAATTACGGCAAATTATGAGTCATTGCAAAATCAGGAAACAATATATTTTATTTTCAGTCTCACATTATTATCATGTTATAATTTTGTGGGAATAGCGACGCATGTAACCGTTACATTCCTATTCCACACGCTAAACTTTCTTTTATGTCCATGATCGACATACAACATACTGTTTCTCATTTCCTCATTCCCCATGCTGTGTGTTCTTTTCATGAAATTATATTTTGAATGTCGTTTGTCATTCCCTATTTGTTTTCAAATAATTACTCGCACTTACTCCTAAGATATCTAGTGCTTCATGCAAGGAGAGGGTTGTCAACGAGAAAGTGTACACTTTTGAAGTTATTTGGCATCTTTTGATTGCTTGCAACATGTTTGGCTTGCACATCTTAGTCATTGTAAGTGCCGGAATAATTTTATTTGCCTATCGATTCCAATATAATGAAAATGATTTTATCCATTGCAATCTTTAATATTTCACATTTAATATGTACCAGTAGCCAGCTTTTGGTAAGGGGGGGGGGGGGGGGGGCTGTTCGAACAACCCCCATGCCCAAAGATTTCAATCTAAAAGCAACACCAGGACCGACCCTGAAAATCGTGAGGGTGGGGGACGAAATTTCTTCATATTTGATTGAAAACCCATTTTATTTAATTTTGGTCATTTTGATGTGTGAATTTATATTTTGTTTTATTTCTATATGAATCATATGGTACCTCTGAATAAATGAAAGAATTTCTAAGTAAACCGAACCGTACTGAATGCAAGTCACTTCACCCTAGAAATAATTTGACAGTGTACCCTTCATCTATGTTAGTATGGGAGCAAAAGTCCTATTTAGAGGTTCCGTGTCCTTGTTAGAGGCGAGCTAAGCGACATATGTTTTCAGAAACCAGAAATTATACTGATCAAGAAAAATAATGTTGGCAATTCTGAATCCCCGACGGCGTTGCTATGGTAACCGAGTAAATATGCCACGCTCACATTTGGGTGCTCTTTTCGGTGTTTGGCCCCTATCTTCGTCATTATTGCTCAGGTTTAGATGAAATTTGCATCAAATGAAAGGTAAACGATAATGCAATCGGAAGATATTAAGTTTGCAATTCTGAATTCGTGACGGTGTTGCTATGGTAACAAAGTAAACATGCCACGCCCTCTTTTAAGGACTTTTCAGTTTTTGGTCCCTAGCATATTTACATATTTTACATATTTTATTTTAATTATGATGTATAAATCTGTGAAATTATTGTGTATTTAAAATGGTCAGTAATGCTCCTAACTTGTTAATTAGTTTATTTCTTTGAGTTGGGTTTATAAGTTTATTTCATTCATGCTTGCATGGTCATAAAAATTGAATAAATGGAATGAAAGTGTCCGATTCACGCTGTTACTATAGTAACAGCACGTTGCAAAGCTATCTGCTTTAAAAAATTCTTTAGGGGGGGGGGGTGCGATCGCGGCATAAGCAACTCAAAAAATGTTTAATTTGTTTTGAATTTTACAAAAGTTGATGCAACTTCCTTCAAAATTGAACTAGAACCTTCGAGTCAAAAGCATTTTAAAGTTCTTCTTCCATCTAATGGTTCTATTTTAATTGGCCCCTTGGTTATGCCTATGCTAGCTATGTTAACCAGGTGGATATGCCGTCCCAATTTTTGGGGCTTTTCCAATGTTTTATCTTCTATATATCTTTGTCATGATGATAGCTCTGATGTGTTGGACTTTTGATCAAATTGAAGCCAAAGAATCAGACATTGCATGCATAATGTAGATTTGCTGACTGGCATACCTGTTATGGTGTCATAGCAGCTTTTTGTGATTATTTTCTTGAAATAAGGTAAAATTGCTCAAAATCATTCCAAATTGGAACTCCGATTTCAGTCATGAATTACGTCAATTTTGCCTGCAAACATTGGGTAGACGTTGTCCGAATGCCCGAACGTGTCAGGAACACATAGATACTCGAATGATGTTGATTGGACATCAGGGTTGAGAAATCGTAATTTTACTGAGTGGCTTCACGAAAAAATAAGCAGCATTATATATAAGCCACCTTAGATTATTGTAGTTTTTCGAAAAATGGGTCTTAATAGGTTTTGAAATTTAGATTGTCACCGTCAGGGATACACGATCAATAAAAGGTAGCGTATTGCTCTTCATTGACTTACTGTGGCTTCGGCTTTTTTCTCTGGTTAGATATTGCTCAGATGTTTATAAAACAACCACCAAGACCTGGTCGGATTCATGAAGCTTTGAGAAAAAACAGCAATTACATGTATGTCTAAGAATATAATGCCATCAGAAAATCTGATGATATACAGCAGTAACACCCTATGCTTAGTAAGCGGACCTAATTTCAAGGGTGATGGTAAAGACGAGGCATGGCGCCCAAAAACCAAAGAATATTAGTACCATAATCTTTTAAGTCGTATTATTGCAGCATAAGTTGATGATATTGTGATATTTTATGCTGTTTTAGAAGTGAAAGATGTTAAACTATGCATACCGTTTGTTTTACATCCAATAAAACGAATAGTTAAGATGAAACAGTCGTTTAAAGATACAATTTGAATTTACCGCAAGAAATTACAACCTAATATTGTCAATATGTCAATAATTCCTGATCGATGTCACATATAAAGATATATGTACCTAGATATGTTTTATTTTTTCATATATGAGTGACGTCGAAAGAGAAATGTAAGGCGTTCGATTGCATATATCTCTTATACACTACTAGTCATGCCCTCTGAATATATAAACGTTCTAATACCTCTATTAAATTCAAATAGATATATATTTTACATATTTGTCATTGTTTTATGTTTATTTATTTTAAAACATTATCATTTCTTGTTTGACTCCTGGCAATGATAGCTATAAATTCTTTCAATAAAATTTTGAAAGAGTAAATATCTAATATATTTGAAATTATGAATTTTTGAAATAATTTGAATAATTTTGTCGAATCTACTTAACCAATATTTGAAAAAATAAACAAAATAAAATAAGCGCATTTGTGTAATTACACTAATTAAACACATTGAAAGAATCAAAACATTGAAAGAATCAAAACATGTCAAAACATATTGGCTCAAATGTTGCTGCACTATATTGTGTTACATATTCTTCATATTCCGGATCATACCATGGACTATGTGTCAGCTCGATTGATTCACTCGTTCAACTGCAAGTGGTACACCCTTCTCAAAATCGTGTCACGAGACTGAAAAACTTCTGCTTTGAAAATGAAATCTGTTTTGCCGCAAAAAAGACACGTGCTTACTTCATATCCCCGATATCATAAAATGAAATTTTGAAAGTGTTGGTGGTTCACTATCATAAATTGTGGCCTTCTTTCGGTAAGGTAGAATGGGTATAATCTAAACTGTGTAAAACGGTTTTAGTACATCTTTAACTTTTTAATCCTGACCTTCTACACCATGTTATAGATGTAATAGGATATTTTATGGGACTTGCTAGAAAGCTTAATATCCCTCTCAACTATGTTTTACAGCTGTAGTAGTTTATTGTATTATGATATAGTACTTAACCAAAGTATTGTAATTAAACAGTAGGGATTTCAAACTTGCTAGCAACTTCCAATTACAATATCAGGTAACACCCATACTTTAACACGGTAAAGGAAGCCTGGATTTGTAAGTTTAATTAAGAGCATTACTGAATGCTCAATTTTGATTGGCTTTATTTTTGTTGCTCCATAAGATCCCAAACAATTCATTTTAAAATCTAAATTTGAGCATCAAAACATTGAAGCATCGTACGTAGCAAAATTAAAAGCAATTATATATATTTTCTTAATCAATATGAAAAAGAAAATTGACCCTGTGAAAATATCGAAACATTCAGTTATTCTGGCTGTTCCAGTAGTCTGTCTCCTTCTTCTGTACCCCTTACCCCTCTTAAAAGTGACATAATTGCTATGTTTCAACCGGACTTAGGGTTCAAAAATCTCCGGCCATCTCCAAAAATCGTTATTGTTGCAGCTTGCGATGTCCATGAGATTTGTCGCAATGAATGTCAGCGGCCTGGTTTCAATGTAAACCACACTTGGTAATGTAGAACATCGTTACACCGTCCAAACTATTTTGATGTTAACTGTAAATAGGTTATATTTTAGATATAATAAGCATAATTAATGTCTCCAAAAATTTAACAAAACAGTGTCCATAAATGATTTGCGTCCGTGAAGCATCATCAAAAGCCTCACGCCAAAACAGTTTCAATAGTTTGAATTTCCACATTTAATTAGATAGTTAAATTGGTCTGCAAGTCTGTTTGTTAAATCATCATTTTTGAAAATGTTAATCAGCGAAGATGTGTTAATAACGGTGTTAATAAGGTGTTATTTCTTTAAATTCCCGAGACGTTATACAATTAAGTACAAAGCTGCACCATTGAACACTCTATCATAGATAAAGATCAATGATATTCCTCAATTACTGAGAAAATCATAACTAAATTAAAGGGTTGCGAATTCAAGATTACGTTATTTAGATAGACGTGTATATTATATTTCTGATTAATAGATACAAGTAATTAATACCATGTATTCTATTCTTTAGTACTTGGAAATCCGATTCCAGTCTCGAGCTGCCAAACTTGTTGGAACTCTAATGACACTTACTAATGCGGTGAGTATATCGAGTATGTCAGCATTAATTGTACTTTATGGCTCTTAAATTATTCAGGGCAGTATCAGCCAATTCTGCATGCAATGGTGTTATTCATGGGGAGTGTTGCGTTGACGACATTAATTATATAAATAAACATGTGTTTGCGCGTAGCATTACTTTTATTACTATTACGGGATTCTATGTGTATTTTGTTTTTCAAAATGTTTGCTTTTCTGAAACTAAATGTTATCATGCTCATTATTATACTATGTCTACTATCTAGTTATGAAGCATTTATAGAACATACTTCATCAAATCACCGTTTTACTCAAAATAGATTTAGCTGAACCCTTTCAGTAAAAATCATAACAATTTCCCAATATACAGGGTGGTCAAAAAAATGGAAACCCTAATACCATTTTCCTCATGTCTTTGTCATTTTAATAAATAACTCCTTGATAGTTTACATTTTGTACATCATTCAATTTGCTACCAGCCTACTTTATTTCATGACCATCAGATTGATAGTTCCAATGTTACAGTACTTTAAAGAACATTCCCAGTGGACACAATTGCGTTGTGGGGAAACCTGTACTCATCGTCAAAATGTCCCTACTTGTGGGGATATGGCAAAGATAGAGTATATGAGAATGACCCCAGGGCAATTGCAAACCTCAAAAGTGAGATCATTCGTGTCATTGAGGCCATACCTGCTGAGAAATGCATTCGGGTCATTGACAACTGTGCTGTTTTGCCTTCAGCGCGATAATGGCCAAATCTGAAGCATGTTATTCAAAGTACTGTGAAATTGTGACTATCAGTCTGATGGTTATGAAATATAGTAGGGTGGTAGGAAATTAACAGATGTACAAATGTGTGAAATATCAGGGAGTAATTTCCTAAAGTGACAAAGATATAAGGAAAATGCAGGGTTTCAATTTTTTGACCACCCTGTACTTTGCTTAAGCAATTCAATAGTTCTTACCTGTTATTTCCAAAAATGATTGGTCGAAAAGAAATGATGCCGCCTTTTCAAGTTAAATAAAGGTTATCCTTAAATCTGATCCTAATTCTATGTTTACAATCTTTGGATTCATACATCTCAAACTACTTTTCAAAATAAAATCGGGGCTTGGAATCAACACATATTTTAACATGTACATTGAGAATAATGCGCACTGGCGGATCCAGAAGCTAACGGGGGGGGGGGGGGGCACATTTGAAGCTTGGAAAAAGAATTACCCGCTTGCCAAAATTTTTTTCACCAATATTTTACTGTTATAAACTTCTAAATGGAAAAATGATATGGCATTCACAGTCATTACTTCGTTCTAACTCTCCTTTTTGGCATTATTTTAGGTCTAAATTACACATCTTCCGTACTTTGCGGGAGATCCCTCCATAGGGCTATCTACCGCACTATTCGTCTTGGGAGTCAGGTATTCGCGATCTACCAAGCATGTTCGGGAGTCAGATACCCCTTTAGTCTTCGTGGGGCTATCTACCGCACTATTCGTCTTGGAAGTCAGGTCTTCGCGATCTACCAAGCAAGATCGGGAGTCAGATACCTCACCACCCCTTTTCTATCATGGGAGCTATCTACTGGGCATATTCGTTTGTCTGATCAGCAGCATGTGTACAGGTGTCAGATACCCCTGTTTACGTAATACTTCATTACGTAACGTCATAATTGCCGTATTCTTGAACAGGAATGACTTTGAATGCCACATTATACAATAGTGGGATATTAGCATCATACGCGCCCCAAGCTAAAGTAAATCTCAGGTTATTTTATTCTAGTTTTGTTTATGTAAATATATTTATCTGTATGACTTTATAAATCATAAACATGTATGTAATTATCTCTATTTGATTGTTATGTTATTGATAAAAGGAAACATTTTCGAGACCCAACATTTTTCTGTCCACCCCCCTGGATCCGCCTGTGCTGCTTCCAGGATTTTACGTTCTCTGTCCTATTAGTCCATTTGTCATTTTCTTAACGTATGAATATTTAAAAACATGATGTTTTTCTGTGCAAATACTATCGTTAGGGTTTATTGGAGTGATTTAGCTGGGTTGCCCAAAAATTAACGTTGGGGAAACTTTTTGTATCTATCACCATGGTAACATACCAGGTACATGGTGGTATCCCGACGCTAAGTCAATAGTCAACGCCATGTTAAGCCAATGCACCCCTCCCTAATTAGCCGCTATACTTTTTTCCCCAAACTAACTTTTTGTCCAACCCAGTTAAATCACTTCGGAAAACCCTTGTTATTATAAATAAACCATAAAACATCGTGTTTTTAACAATTCATAGGTTCACTATAGTATGTATAGGGGTGACAAATGGACTATATTTGCTGTCCTTTTTATTAGCTCACATGGTGAGCTATTGCAATCACTCACTTGTCCGTCTGTCTGTCTGTCTGTCTGTCTGTCCGTCTGTCAACAATTGGCCAGTTTTTAAACCTCTGTCAATAGGATTCCCGTTTTAAGTTATTTTTGTTCAACATCAATAAAGAAAACCCCCATATGACTCCTGGTTCAAAAGTTTGCCTATTTTCAATTTTGTCTCGCAAAATTCACTTTCGGACACAAGAAGTTCTAGAAGGAAACTGAGAGAAGGCTGTGATATTTCACGATGGGATTCCCGTCAATACAGAAAACTCCCTTATGAATCCTGGTTCAAAAGCTTGCATATTTTCAAATGGTCGTCATTTTTGTTTCGCGAAACTCACTTTTGGTCCATTTCCTAGCTTTACAAATAATTTCAGGTGTCCTGCATTGTAAAAAAAAAAATCCACTGCAAAGAGTAGTTGTATGAAATAATTTTGTTACAAAAATCGGGAAAAAATCATCCGTTTTTTATTTTCAGTCATATTTGTTAATATTGATTTGTCCATCTACCTCGCGAAATCCCCTTTTAGACCATTTGCCTTAAAACCTCTGTCAATAGGATTCCTGTTTTAAGTTATTTTTGTTCAACATCAATGTAGAAAACTCCTCTATGACTCCTGATTCAAAAGCTCGCCTTTTTTCAAAATGGTCGCCATTTTGTCTTGCAGAATTCACTTTTGGCCCATTTCCTAGCTTTACAAATAATTCCAGATGCCTTGCTTTGTAAAAACGCATGTCACTGTAAAGAGTAGTTGGATGAAACAACTTTGTAACAAAAAATCGGCAAACAGTTATATTCGTCTTTTTATTTCTAGCCATTTTAGTTAACATTGATTTGTCCATCTATCTCGCGAAATCCACTTATGGGCCATTTGCCTTCAAACCTCTGTCGATAGGATTCCTGTTTTAAGTTATTTTTGTTCATCAATACAGAAAACTCCCCTATGACTCCTGGTTCAAAAGCTCGCCTATTTCCAAATGGTCGTCATTTTTGTTTTGCAAAATTCACTTGTTTCCTATTTCCTAGCTTTACAGATAACTTCAGGTGTCCTGCATTGTAAAAAGCCATGTCACTGTGAAGAGTAGTTGCATGAAATAATTTTGTTACAAAAAATCGGCAAAAATTACATTCATTTTTTTATTTCTGCCATTTTAGCCATCATTCGCGTTTTGGCAACATCATGTGAGGTCAGTACCCACGGTACTATTTTTATTTTTAGAACAGCATTTTCTTAATCATGAAGCGAACATGGTTGAGTGAAAACCCTCATTAAGTGTATATTCATTCGCTCCTTTTGTGTATGTTAAGGAAAATCTGTTTATTGTAAAGTATATTATGTGTTTGTGTGTTGCATTAATTCTTTTAACATATTTCCGATTTAGATATTGTACATGGGTGTTGTGATGTACGCGCCATCTACAGCCATGGAGATAGGTACCTCATAATTTATTAATCAAATATTTCATTAAATTTGTTTAGTAGTCTAAGAGTAACATCTTGTGAACGTGTCACAAGTATTCAACGAGAACAAAATTAAATATTTGTTTTATGATATTACTGTCAAGTTTACCATCCTCACCATTACAAAATTTGTTCAAATAGTTTTATTTCTTGCTTCAGTATTGGATAACATGTACATCAATTGCTCCCGTTCGGCATTTTTATGCATTACTGCATTTCGATAAATTGGTCCGTATTCTAAGATAACACTTCGATCGAGAAGGTTTCAAATGTTTCATAATATTTGCTCATACCATATCGAATACGAAACCTATAGTGCTGTATTACATTATATATCAATATATCTTGATAATCTTGGTAATCTTTCATTGCAAATATGATACCCCCGGATGATACCCTGATTAGGTTTTTCTTTCACTAGTTGATTTCGAATGTGAAATGTTATAATAATCTGATAAAATATTGTTCCAGCAACCGGTTTTCCGATATGGATCACATTAATTGTCCTATTTGTTGTGTCGACGTTTTATACAACATTGGTAAGTAATGTATGTAGTAATATAACTGACTTTGTATTTTCCTGAGAAAATAAAGTATACTGCATATTCTAATATTAAATTTGAATAGGTCACAATAACTAGATTATAATCCGATTATCTTATAATGTAATCTCATGTCGAATATGTTACGAGGCCATACTCTTATCATATTAGGAAAATAAAAATACCTCCATTCTATAATTAATGGCAAGTTTATGACACCAGATTTTGTTTTTAAATGTTCTTACATTATATTATATTATACATATATTATATCTTATTTTATTATACGAGGGGTGATCCAAAAGTCTTGGACGCCCTGCTCTAATTTTATTGTGTTTTTTTATAAAATTACTTTAAACTTTCCAATAATAAAGAATAACATCCTAACTACTTTGTCTATTAATTTCATGGAGAAATGATATGTTTTATGTAGTTTTCTAGATAGTTTTTAATAAAGGGACCCTGCCATCCGGAACGGTATTCGCACATGACAACTTCCAGCCTTAAATGTTGCCGCCATTTGACTTGTTTTGCAAGTCTTGAGCACTCTCTTTCTTTGAATTTTGAATGTTAAACCATGTTAAATTAGTTTACTTCCTTTGTTACTATGCAACCAATTAATTGTGTTTTATATATAATGTCACATATGACAATGACCATATATGTCAAATTATAAGAAAATGACATCAGACAAGCAGCCCTCATTCTGGTATCATTTTTGCTCCAAGATGGCTGCTGAAATGCAGAACATGAAAGAAATCAAACTGGAACAAAGAATACAACAAGATATTCTCACTATGATTGACCTTTTGCAGCTACAATATGCACGATACAGTCTACATATGACTCCGTGTGATTTTCTTCCTTTTCTCCAAGTTGAAAGGAGGGTTGAAAAAAATGTTTTTTTATTCATTGGATGAGGATGAGGATGAGTAGCACTCCGGCAGCATTTGTATCACATAAGGAATGGTGATTTCATAAATGTCTTCCATTCATTGGTAAAGCGGTATGAAAGATGTGTTCAAATTCGTGGAAAATATGTTGAAAAGAGGTCTTAATATGTGAAGATGATGATGGCAGATGACACTCAGATTAAAAATCGGAAATTCTCTCATATCATGACTGGTGTTAAGTTGTGCACCTACACCTAAAGTATTTGCCATATCATAACAGTTGTGACGTGATTTGCTATATTCAAATACCGTTCCGGGTGGCAGGGACCCAGTGTTAAAAAATATTTACCAAAAAGCAAAAATATATTATTTTCTGTTGAAACTTATACACAAAGTTGCTAACATGTTGATCTTTATTATCTGAAAGTTTCATGCAATTATAATAGAAAATAGCAAAGTTAGAGCGGGGCGTCCAAGACTTTTGGATCACCCCTCGTATTACATATAAAAAGTATACGTTTCATGACTTATAGGGTGGAATGAAAGCAGTTGTTTGGGTAGATGCGTTACAATCTGTGGTCATGCTTGCAGGAATGATGGCAGTTGCAATTCAGGTAATGGCATATTCTCGAGCCCTCTATTAAAGCCTTTCATTTAAAGGCATTGCAAGTTCGATCACTATCTATCGAGAAATGTTTATATTCATCAGGAATCCATAAAAGTGCATAAATAACGTGTATCCATTCCAGGGTTCTATACGAGTCGGTGGAATTTCAAAGGTCTGGAGAATAGCTGAGGAAAATGGTCGCATTGACTTTTGGAAGTAAGTGTAACAATACTGTAGACGTTTTTACACTAGTAAAGTTGCAAGATCTCAAATTGCAAATATACTCACACTAGTTCAGCCGAGCTAACCAAGATTAAGATCTCTGGATGGTTATTCCAAATAATTATGTCCTACTTTAGTTTCAATCCAGACCCTACCATAAGACATACTTTCTGGACAGTCGTGGTTGGTGGTATGATGGATCTACTGGCCAGGACGGGCGTTTACCAGGCAGCTGTACAGAGATATTGTTCAGTACCAACCATGAACAAAGGCAGGATGTAAGTAACCCCAAAAAATGTCAATCAAAATCATAAATCGTCTGTTTTCAATAATTTTATTACCTTCACTTTCGTACTATCTTGTGTTTGCATATATATTTTAAAGTAGATCTTGAAATCTACACTACTGTATTGTAAAAAAAATATAATATAGAAATATGATTTCTTGATGTGTTGAAGATTACACAACTGATCACAGAACACAATTATTTCAAAATGTGACTGACTTAAAGAACAGTGAACATAAAACAGGGACTATTCCGAGAAAATAAATTTCACCTTTATAACGTTGTATTCAGAAACCTATGTTTGGGAATCACCACTCTGATATCGTTTTTATTCAATAATTGTTTAATAACATGTTTGCTTTATTGGATTCATCCCGATATACCATCGTGTGATAAGACCAATAAACGATATACTATTACAGTATCAGATTCCTATTTTAGAACTACATTGCTGAATGTCCCATTTATGGCCCTTATATGGTCTGTAACATGTCTGGCTGGTATTGTGATGTTTTCGTACTATGCTGACAAAGGGTGTGACCCATTGAGAGCTGGATATGTCAAGAATCCAAATCAGGTATTCCCATAATCATTTAATAGACATCGTGTATGTTCTGAAGGCATTTTATGCTTCTATGACAACAAAAGCATCTTAATTCTAGTACTGCTGATGTAGCATAATACTTTTAATATTTGATTTAGTTGTTGAAATGTTGCCCTTTGTGCTGTTTTATCACCATTTTTATATTTTGTAGTTAATAGCATATTTCATGTTAGAGGTGTTAGACTATCCTGGTGTATCAGGATTGGTAGTTGGCAGTATATTCAGTGCTGTGCTCAGGTCAGTGTTTTGAATACATCCTTGTCTCTAAGTAGAAAGTAACACACTTTTCATGAAACGTTAATGTTAACTAAAGGTAGACGATTGAATATTGACTTCAAAATGTAGGAATATTGTAATTTTGTCAGCAACTGGGCCGAGATACCCAGTCCAGTCGATTTTTATACTAATGATTCTAATATGATATGTGACGTCACACTAACTAGAACCATTGATTTACTGGTCTATATTGGAGTATGTATGACCGCTAAAATTCATAAATGCAAATATTTGTTTTTCTTATCTGTTTTTCATATTAAAATCGTAACAAAGACCTCGATTTTATGATGTACTGTATGTCAAATATATGACCTCAAATCTTATTCTGGCCATTTAACAATGAACGGAATAAATTTTTCGGTCATATATCACGCCATAAATCATAAAATCTAGCTTGACCGAGCTTGACCGAGATTTAATGATTTATGACGTAATATATGACCGAAAATTTTATTCTGGTCATTGTGGTTAAAAGACCGAAATCGCGTGGTTTTTACCTAAAGCATAAGGTGGCAAAAACCACGCGTTTCATAAAACATGAAATCGAGGTCTTTGTTACGATTCTAATATGATAAACAGACAAGAAACACAACTATTTGCATTTATGAATTTTAGTGGTCATACATACTCCAATATAGACCAGTAAATAAATTGTTCTAGATATCGTGACGTCACGTATCATATTAGCATTGTCTGTTTATCATATCAGCATCGTAACAAAGATTTCAATTTTATGATTTATGTCAAATATATGACCTCAAACTTTATTCTGGCAATTGCCAAATACCTCAATCGAACAAAACCTCAAATGAACAAATATTGCTATTAGATATTACTTGATACATCGATGAAAAAATTAACCTTGGTTATTTTTCGTATCAATTAAAACAGTATCACTTATGTTAAACATATTTAAGTGGAACACAAGCGAAAAACCCTTGTCAGATGTTCATGATCACTATGTCTACTTTTTACATTAAAAATAAACTATATTCTTGCATAATTACATAGGCCATTTCCTTGACCCCGTCATTTTGTTAACCATAAGCTTAATGTAGCTTTAAATGTCGTTGATTAAAAGGAAATGTATTATAAGTCACCTTGCAATTGCTCAGTGATACAGAATTCTTCTATGATCGTTTATTACCATCTTCGACTTCCAAATGTTGCTACTCATTGGAGTTGGAGTGTTCAACTGAAACCTTGAAGGAATTTGTTAACTACATGTAAATTCTTTTTAAATAAATCTGTCATTGTCACTGGTACTCACCTACATGTAGTTACCAAAAATAGAACCGCCTGTATATTCTCAAACTATACTATCTTCCCTAACTGTGTGCAAAATTATTGTCCACAACTTGACTTATAAGTGGTGTATAATCGAGAAATAAAAATATTTTACCGAAAACTATGCCCGGAAGTTCTTCCATCTTGTTACGCTGACGTTTCGTGAGTACCGGTGATTGTTAGAGGCGTTATCTATTAAATACAAGAAAAACTCGAATATATAACTCATATAAATATTACTTTTTTCTATATTCATAGATGTCACCTTATGCTTTAGGTAAAAACCAGTCGACTTTAAAGTTTCTATATTCTTCAGTACAACATCATCGATCCAGAGTGCAGCAGCCGCTATAACATGGGAGGACCTGTTGAAGTGGAAATTTGGAGACCTGCCTGAAATAAAAAGAACTTACGTTACAAAAATACTCGGTGAGCATTCATTTTTAGTAGTTTGATTCTCTCATGTAATAGTTATATAATTACATATATTTCGTTTATATAGTCGTAATCCAATAAGATATACAGTACATAAGAAAAATCCCTGGATGTCTGAAAGAAATAATTTCAATTCAATTTCAATCGTTTTTTAGTAATTTCTTTTAAATATACAGTAAAATAAAATAAAGTAAAATCATTAGGAAGAAATGATGAATTAATAAGTACATGTAATAAATACTTATTAAGAATGTCATTATTGATCGGTCGGTGCATTGGAACATTACTAAATTGCATTTGGCTTCTCACAATGTTTAACTATCTTAGTCCATGAAACTTTGTTCGAATGCACTACTAAACACCATTGGATGCTATTTACATGTATATGAATAATGTTGTTCTAGTCGTTATATATGGAGCAATTGGTATGGGCATGGCATTCTTAATGATGCAGATGGGTGGCACCGTAATACAAGTAAGATCTTTTCTAATTCCATAACACCTCGTTGTGAAATACACATATTGTACAAGAAGCCAATATTGCTTAAATCATTGACCCAGAACCATGATAATGTACAATTGTAAAATGTTGTATGCTCTAATGGTTGTTTGACGGTCTTTCAGGTTGGGTTGGCATTTGTTGGGGCATCGGTTGGTCCATTACTAGGCCTTTTTATACTAGCGTCATTTTTCCCTTGGACAAATTGGATCGTAAGTCTATTTGTTGATAAATAACTACAGAAGAAGTACAGGGTGTTCAAAAAAACGCAACCCAAAGAAATCGCTATATCTTGGAAAATTCTAATCCAATTGTGTTCATATTTTCAGGAGAGAAAGAAAATACTGTGTATGTATAGCTCCTGTTGTTTGTTAGTTGTAAAACATGATGTCTAGTACACCTGCTCAAAAGGCAGTTGTACAAGGAAAATACGAAAAACGTGAATTGAAAATCACTATATCTTGAAAAATACTAATTCAATTATGTTCATTTTTTAGGAAAAGAAAGAAGATATTGTGTATGTATAGCTCCTTTTATCAGTAAGTTGTAAAACATGATGCATTGGACACCTGCCCAAAAGACAGTTGTTCTAGGAAAATACGAAAAAAGCAGTCAGATGTGACTGCCACAGGAATAAAACCTAACAACCTTCTAATCATAGTGTTTTGACACTTCAGATTTGGCACAAATTATCCTCATTCAATGTGTGGTGAATTCGTGGAGTTTCATCAAAATCCCTTCAGGGACTTTACAGTCATGGTCAAAATACCTTCTGAAGTCTGCTGGAACCAGGGCGTTTGACTGCGATTTGAAAGCATTTCGACCATAACTGTAAAGTCCATAAAGTGATTTTAATTTCACTTTGCAGATTTACCATACAGTGAATGAAGATGATTTGTGCAACTACAGGAGCTATACATAAACAGTCTCTTCTTCCTTTCCTGAAAAAATGAACATAATTGAACAAGTACTTTTCAAGATATAGCAATTTATTTGGGTTGTGTTTTTTTTAACACCCTGTACCAAGTGCATTTAATAGATTTTAACAGATCTGAAAAATGGCTCCATGAAGTGGTGTCTTTTTAGAGCCACAGTTATTCGTGAGAGGCCTCGATAGTTGATGCCATTGGCCTTTGTAGTTATTCCCCAAGTGATGACATACATAACATAAACACAACACAACACTAAATAATGGTGTATAGCATGCATAAAGTGCCTCTAGATTTGTTTTAGGGGGCTGTTGTTGGTGGCATAGTTGGACTTGCAATACCATTATGGATCAGCTTCGGGTCATACATACATGGGACTCCTGTGCCATACCTTCCAACTGACATTAGCAGATGCCCCAATGGTACAATTGTTATTTCCAATATAACAGCTCCAACAAAACCACCCTTGTAAGTTTTCATATCCAGTTCATTCCATGACAAATGATATATGACATTGATATATATTATTCATTTATTTGCATATAATGAGGAGACTCCTGTAAGAACATACACTCCGAGTGTATGTTGTTACAAACTTTAACACTGTTCGTCTATGATCTCAATACGCGAGCCTTCATGCTTCGCTTTGTATTTCCATTAGTAAATAACGTTGCCTAAATGATTTTCAGGACTGGCATAAGCAACATTTACAAGGTTTCGTATCAATACAACGGTTCTATAGGATGTGCAACTGTTGTATGTGTGGGACTTTTAGTCAGCTGCTGTTCAGGTACACGGTTACAAAACCTAATTTGTATTCTTTGTATTTCAAAGTATTTATGCTCGGTGGGTCATTGTTTAGGTTCAAGGTCTTAGGGTAAATAAAGAGGGGAAAATAGAGATTTGATAATTTGTTTTAACATATATTTTTACATATCCTTTGTAAGTTATAGGTTTATCTAAATGTTGCATGGGTTATGCTTTTCTTGATTTAAGGACTGTTGAAAAACCACCAAGTTCATCCGAGACTAATTGTGCCATTCTTTGATCGCCTTCTATGCTGTCTGCCTAAGTCTTTCAGAAGACTTTTGCAATGTAAAGTGGACCACGAAGGGAAAGAGGTATATATATACTAATCTCTTTTCTCCTCAATTCCTTTTAAAAATAACGTTCGAAAAAGTATGCTTACTCTGCAAGTTAACCCCAGCATTTTAGTTAACCCCAGCATTTTAGAAAATATGAAACTCGTACTAACCGCCACCTCATCTAACAGTATAGTTGCAGCGAGATCCACTTTATGTTTAGCACGCTCTCTTTATCATGTTTATTTCATTTCTGTCATATCTATCTTTATTCTTTCAGAACGATCCTGTATATTTCTACAACTATGGTTTCGATGAAGGGAATCAGGTTGCTGCAAAACAGGAGCAACTAAATGACTTAAATGAAACACCATTTCAACAAAAAGAAAGAAACCACTCAGACATCAAAAACTCTGATCAACTTGAAAATGGCAGTTATGTCATTCATAGGAATAATGGTAGCGAAAATAAAAGCTTTGATAATGATACAGATGACCAAAATTTCACTCGGTTATAATCACGGACTTTGACTAGTCCATAGTATGATGCATACCAGTTGTAAGATGGTGTATGATTGGTTGGGCTTCCATAATAGTATAGACTTATGTATCATTTATATATTTTTTTAATATTTTTATATTATACCTATTATAAGTAACCAACTTGTCTCATAGTCTACACTATGCAATGTAAATGGTGCTTTGTACATGGGATCATTGTCTTTGGATATTGGGGATTTGCTTCCTTATGACTAACAGTTGGTGCATGCTTACATTAACATATATAGACAAATAAAAATACTGTAAGTGTCCATGGCATATTGACCTAGATGGTATTTCTACAACATCAATTGAATGAGCTAAATTCACCAGAAAAATTAAAACAACATCATCATTACTAAAGAAGTGATTCAAAATATTTTCGGTATCTTGTTTCTGGCCACTCAGATGTAGTATTGTATGAGTCGTCCTGACACCATGCTAATTATGATTTACAATGGCATTATTTACGCTGAAAGCTATACACATGCTGTCTCCTTAAAACCTGTAATTCTACCACAATAATAACAATGCTGTAAAAGATACATGGATACTCATAACAATATTGTTTTCTTTCAAATGTTATGATAAGTGAGTGAGAAAATATTGCATTAGGTCCTTCAGTTGTAATCATAGATGAGAAAGTAATAATGATAGTTGCATATGCATATAAGAATGAAATATTCCACAAAAAATACGATCAAGACAAGTATCGCAGACAATGTCTAATGTTAAGTATACAATGCCAGCAATACAAGACACGTGTACTATACGACACAAATGCATAAGTATTAGATGTACAGCAAATGTGATATCTTTTTTATACAGGCGTGGATATGAAAACTAAGAAGGAGAGTAGGCCAAATTTCAAGTCAAAATATATTTCCGCGCTTGCCCGGTCCTCTTAACCGAAAATTAGGCCGAAAATTCAATGTCCGTTTTCTTGATAATTTGGACTTAAATTTTTAATTAAGGCCAAAAAGTCCAGTAATGCCAATAAAATGTCTAGTTCCCGACCTGAGACGTACTTGTTGAGATTCAACCTGAGTTATTCTGAGAAAATGAGCATTTCGTATATATCCCATGGTATCCCGATGCCAAGCCAACAGTCAATAGTGCAATTCCTCATGTTAAGTCAATACACCCTTGCTGAAATCCTCATTTTCTCAGAAGAACTCAAATTGATTGAATTCGACTCCTTAGAGAAACTCAAGTAGATTCATGTTGGATAATATTCACCTTGAGACTGTGCTTTACGAAAACAAGCGGTATGGTGGATCTTATGTGTGCAAGATGCGGATATAAGGGGCCATTTTTGAATTTGAATTTGTGATGTTTCATAAACTAAAGCACGTTGGGTACTCAAGTAATGTATAGTCATCCATTTGTAGAGGATGCCTAATAAAAGGGTTATTTTGTCTATAGTTGATTGTATTCTTCATCCTTTGACGACGAACTAAGTTCATCCTTCCTAAATAGCAAAGAATTCGAAATTTCTATTACACACTAAACAGCCTTCATTCAGTATTGGTGATCGAGATGACAAACCGATATAAATTATTTTGCATTTTGAAAGTCATAAACTTTTTATGTGAATTTGTAATTCATTAAATTAGCCCCCTGTTGATAACACTTTAGCTGAGAATTTTGCAATCAGTGGACCTCCGTAAATATGCTGTATCATTGAAATTGACAGTCTCAACTTTCAAATGAAATATCGACAGCGTAATGGCCTAGTCACATAGCCCGGCCGATGAGGTTACGATGAGCCAGCGATGCAATTTTCACCGAACTCGGCCGAACACCGGCCGGACACCGGCCGGACATCCGTGGCGTTTGTTGCTTAAAACCGCATCGGTGGTAGCTTGGTGAAATTTTAACTTCGGAGTTAAATTTCACCGGGCTCTCACCGAGCTCCCTCATCATGTCATCGCAGCCCCATCGTAACCACATCGGAAAACACGTCGGCCGGTGCACGGCCGAGTATCGGCCGGTGTCCTGTGCATCTGAGACAACCAGAGGACGAGGTTTTTTAACGGACAGCGGCCGAGCTCCGGCCGATGTGGGACAGAGCATCGGTCGGTCACTGTTCAAAGCCCGTTAACAACCCGGCCGGCGATCGCACGGTGTCCTGTTACCTGCTCGGGTACCGGCCGTATTCCTTCCGATGTCCGGCCGACCTCCGGCCGGTAGTTGCTGCCACATCGGCAGAAAAAAAATACCATTTTGAGACAGACTCCGTACCGTCACCGGCCGGTGTTCGGTCGGTCGCCTGAAGATGTCCAGATGGAGTCCGTTCACGTCACCGAGCTCTGCTTCCGATGAGGAGAGCTCGGTGGCACCAAAAAAATCCATCGAGCTCTACCGATGCCGGACATCGGCCGGGCTATGTGACTAGGCCATAAACTTTCGTCATTATTAGACCCATATATATAATATTACATATTCTGATATGATACGTGACGTCACAATAACTGGAACAATTGATTTACTGGTCTATATTGGAGTATGTATGACCACTAAAATACATGAATGCAAATATTATGACCTCAAATTTTATTCTGGCCATTGCCAAAGACCTGATCGCTACGCGATTTCGGTTTTTTAACAATGAACAGAATAAATATTTCGGTCATATATCACGCCATAAATCATATAATCTCGGTCTTTATTCCTTTTAAATTGTTTTTGTATTTGACTATATACATGTATGTTGTAAAATATATGTATACATGTAATTATTATTTGTGAAAAATGAATACAAGCAAATTGAGACACCAACTGCATTGTTACACGTGTTCTTTTTAATTGGGTAACGTTATAGTACAATATGTATCACATGATATAGCGACATGGTATAAATTACTAGTTGTTAATGGACGGACGGAAGCCCTTGTTTGCTCAACAATTAAAGCACTCTACTTGAAAACGAGAAAAATCCAATTCTTATTACGGAATAAACACGAAAAGGCAATACCCTCTATTGCCTTGCATTTTTATTGTTCTTGATGTTTTCTGAAGTTTAAAAGGTCATTTCTCTTTGGCACTTTTTCACTTGTATTTTATAAAAATGACTCTATTTCCCATTCAGTTATATATCCTCTGGTATATCAAAAATCCTCCAAAGCAGGCGTAACGTGCAGTAGACTGATGCACTTCGTTCTTCAAACCGAGACTAGATTTTATAATTTCTATTCAAATACCCTCTATTCCAAATCTGTGCGTCGTCATACAATGCTCAACTTTTGATAATGGAAACCATTCAGTTTCATACTCACTAAATCATTCCTCAAAGGTGTTATTTCAACCCTTGCACGAAACTCGCTGAATCCAGTGATTTTGGTCTTAACTTATTTTCACACATTGCAAAATATGTTTTACGCAATCTCTTAAATTATACAAACTCATTGAAATAAAATTTGTTCAGTGAAACTTTTTGCAAGGGTCAAGTTTGCAAAGCATCAATTTCAATTTGTAGTAAGAGTCACGTTGGCAACTGGAGAACCATTCAATGCAACGAGTGACCTTTTATGTGTTATTGGTTACAAAATAGTGCAGAAATATGAAAGAAAGTGGTCGGATTGGCTGGAATCGGACACACCTTACTATTAGCTACGTATGCGTAAAAACTGCATAAAAGAGCATGAAGAATCATTTGAAAAAGTCCGTATTGTTATAGTATCTGAATTGGGATATCTGGTATAGCCATTATAAACTCAAATAACCCCGACCTTCCAAAACAAATACATGACTTGTCATTGACAAAGAAAATATAGAGGCCATTATGCCTTATATACACTATACAACATGATTATTTAGTGAATATCAGTCGAGTCAGTTCGATGCTCAATTGCACTTGCTATATATACAGCACCATATTTTGATCATCAATGCATATTTTTGATATCTAACGAAGTGGTGTTGAAAAGTGGCCATTGTTTCACAATAGAAGAACATTTTGCACATTTACATTGAGCTCCATGTTAATTTATAAATCTTTAAAAGATCCCCTACATAACAGTTCTAGAATAATAAACGCCTATATTCTCATAATCTTACAAAAACATGATTATCTTCAATATCAGAAGGGTTACATTTTTCTTTTAACTAGTTCAGAAGAAATTTGCGTTTGGATTTCGGGAAATCCCCATTGGCTTCCATTGTAAACCGTTATACGCTTTACCAAAGTGTCATTTCCTCAAAATGTCTACTATGGAATTTTCTAATATTGTAGATATCGATAGTTTATATATTGATTTAAAAAATCAAACAGACACATTTTTGAAAATTTCTTATTTTTGATATATCAAGCCGTTAAAAACTATAAAAACTATATTGAGGCCCATGTTAATTTATCAATCTTTAACTTGGCTAAATATATTAAAAATAAGAAACTTTCAGAAATGTAGCTGTACGATTTAAAAAAAATAGAATTACTTTATCTACAATAAAATATTAGAACATGTTATAATGCACTTTTTCAAAAGAACACTTAGATAAATCCATTTTGTTAGCCGTTTATAATGGCAGTCAATGGGCATTTCACAAAATTTAACACCAATATCTTTGGAACTAGGTAAACGAAACAATTTACTTTTCTTACTTTTAAGATAATCATGTTATTGTAACATCTTGGGAATATGGGCTTTATCACTTTTGAACTGTTCTGCAGGGGATCTTCTGAAGATTGATGATTTAACACGGGGCTTACTATAGTCTTTTTATGGTTTTTAATAGCTAGATATATCAAAAATAATAAATTTTCAGAAATGTGTCCGTTTGCTTTTTTAAAAATCAATATATTAACTATAGAAATCTACAATATAAGAAAATCCCAAAGTGGACTTTAGGAGAAAATGTCAAAAAATGGTGCCGTATATAAATGCAAGTGCGATTCAAGGGTTTTATTGTCATAACTGACTCCACGAATACTATAAAATATTGATGTCGTCGAACTTTTAATCAATTCCATAACAGTGATGTAATGTTAATTTGGTGTGAAGGATATGAAATATTATGTTACACGTTCTTTATTTATAAACACGCAAAGGGATATTGGTTGATAATATCCATCAAAAATTGTCGCTCTGGAAGGAACCTAAGAGGGAATTTGATTCCAATTATATATGCCAGTAAATACTGGGTATCCAACATCTTCAGATTAGGCTATTCTTAATGGTGAGTAAGAATCATATACTTAATTCGAAAGACTTACATTGTATGTAAAAATGATATTGTTTACATTTTTCAAATCAAATGTAACAAATATTTTAATGACAATTGGAGGATTTTTACCTTTTTTGAGTATCATTTCTCACCAAAAAACGTAGAATAATATTTATGAAGTTAGATGGGACACCCTGTATGGCTTAGCAAAATTAACAATAGACAAACAATAGAAATTATAAAGTTGATCTTAATTTCTGTCTAACTATAAGCTGCAAGCTTGACGTACAGAATATGAAATAGGAGCACCAAAATGGCACAGTTGGCAGCGATTAGGATTTTTCTGATCGGCATTACGCTGTCGAATATCATCACATTCACATTTGGTATGATTTATACATAGTTTATTATGATAATACTTTGAGAATAATTGAAAATCACTTAATTGATATACTTCATTCCGGTTTTTCCTCGCTTACTTATGACTCGGCTAATTTTTCACTCTGGCTACGCATTTCGATACATCTTTTCATATCGATGAGGATAAGTTTACTTTAGGGTCTCAAGTTGTGACGTTTTTATTATTTTGTCGTTATCATGTTGACTGGGATTCTCTGAACTTAAGCCCATTTCATTGTTTTATTGCGTCAGTAAAACCTAAAAATAAGGATATTTGTAATAAGATAATTGTGCAATAATATATGGAAAAAATATATTCCTATATTTGTTTATCTTGGATTGCTTCTAGTTTGGCTCATAACGTATGTGGCCTCTTATATTTTGATGCTTCTCTGCCATAGTATTTTCAAAGAGATTAACATGACTGAAATTCTTTTAAATTACAAGAGGGCACAGGCTTATTGCACACAAAACTAAATAATCTGAAATATACAAGTGTCATTCATGTACAATATGAATATACTTTTCTATATATTATTGCACAATGGTCTCCTGATTTCTTATTTTGGGGATTCTACTGACGCAATAAAACAGTGAAATGGGCTGTAGATGCAATAAACGAACAATGCGATAGTCTATTGAGTGTATGCAGTGCGTTGTGTAGTAAATGTAAGTGATTATCAAATGAACTGATGAATGGTGAACTTATTGCGCGAAAGGATAGGTATCGATATGGTGAACTGAATTTAACAATGTTTTTCTCTTAAACCAATCATTGAAAACATTCTGTAAAAAACATGGTATTTTATGTAATGTTGACTGATTGACATTATTTTAATGCGAAAATTGTTTTTGTTAACATTTTTTGTTTTTTAGTTCAATTGTTTTTGCTCCTTTCTATCAATTCTTGAGAATGAAATATAATGTCTTTCCGAACCTTGTTGGAACAAAATAGCATATACAACATGTTGTTAGACCTCTCAATATCAAAGTTATACAAAGGAATTTTTGGTTGATTTTAAAAAAGTGTTCAAAAAATTAAAACAAAATCCCCCCAAAATAGATAAAAATCAAGAAAAACCTTTTATTTCATTGACAAGATACTTTTTTAAAATCAACCAAAATTTCCTTTGTACAATTACAATATTGAGAGACCTAAACATGTTGTGTTTATGTCGTTTTGTTCCAATGAGGTTCGGAAAGATGTTTCATTTCACTCTGGAAACATGATACCAAGAACAAAACAAGTGTTTGATGTGTTTTTTAAAACAATATAGATGAAAGTATGCATATCTATTTCAAATTATATTGTTTCCATTCAAAAGATGAAATTGACAATTTGTAAGATTTTCAGAAATTTTTGATGACTGGTTTAAGAGAAACGTGTGTTCAAAAGTTCGCCATATCGATACCCATTCTTTCAACATTTTCAGGCCAATACCAATGCGAAGCAGGGGGCTTTCAACATAGCAATAACATATGTTACCACTACGATGCGACACAGTTAGAATGGGGGAGTGCTGAAACTGCTTGTAACGCTTATACTAATGGACAACTAGCCGTAATTGACTCTGCCGACATTGCAGCGTTCATTGACACAACTGTGAGGTAAGTTTAGGTTTAATTAAAGCCAAATAGAACATATAAACTATATTACGGACTAAGATCAACTCACTGGGCAATATGGTGTCCAATTACAAGGATTTAAATAATCTGCATTATGTAAGACATCCACTGGACAAAATGTTCAAAAGATTGGTATCGATATGGAGAACTGGATTCAAGAATGTTTTTCTCTTAAACCAATCATTGAAAACATTCTGCAAAAACATGGTAGTTTATGTAATGTTGACTGATTGACAACAATGCAAAAATTATTTAGAAATATTTTGTATAACTGTTTTTGTTAACACTTTTGTTTTTAAGTGCAATTGTTTTTGCTCCCTTCTACCAATTCTTGAAAAACAAATCCCCCATAAATAGATAAAAATCAAGATAAACCTTTTATTTCATTAACAAGATACTTTTTCAAAATCAACCAAATTTTCCTTTGTACAGTTACAATATTGAGAGACCTAAACATGTTGTGTTTATGTCGTTTTGTTCCAATGAGGTTCGGAAAGATGTTTCATTTCACTCTGAAAACATGATACCAAGAAAAAGATAAGTGTTTGATGTGTTTTCTAAAACAATATAGATGAAAGTAAATATATGTATTTTCAAATTATATTGTAACCATTCAAAAGATGACCATTAAATTGACGATGTGTTAAATTTTTAGATTTTTTATGACTGGTTTAAGAGAAACGTGTGTTCAAAAAGTTCTCCATATCGATACCACTCCTTTCTCTTTTGTTTTGATTCTCCATTTAAAAGTCATGTGGTCTATATTCAAATTGCACAATTAGGTTATTCACTCAGATTGCTACAATTAAAACTATGCGCATTCAATACACCATTGGAAAGCTGAAAGTGTCAGCTTTAAGATCTGACCTGCTTGTGGATGTTTGTTCGTTACAGAGTCGAATATTTCGACCATTACATCACAAGGGGTAAAATCATGAAATTAATTACAATTATTCAATCCAAAACCTTTTTGTCAATCATTTCATATGCTCTATTTAAATGTCCATAATAACAAAATCAGTGGTTTGCGAAGTTGCTGATTCATGATATGGAAAAAATGTGTTCGAAGTTACCTACCAAAAATGGGAGAAATAATGCCTTTCATTTCGGCATCATATTTTTCGTTCATTCAAAAAAGGACTACGCTTCAATTGTATAGATTGGTCACTCTCAGAACCTCAGGAACTATTTATTTGAATCACTACAACGGTACATATTTCAAAATATTTATTCCCATGATAGAAATGTACACGAAAGGGAAGTTTAAAGATGCTTTTTGAGCAAATGGGCGTGGCAAAAGAGTTCAAATGTCAATTTTCGTTACTTTACAGTCTGTCGGCCGACGTTATAAACCCATTGTTGTTTACCGGTTTTTAAAAAAAAGTGCGTAGTAATAATTTCGGCATTTTCGAACTACTTGTTTACGCCCGATTGGGCATGGTCTTTAACGAGTTGTTTAGCAATCAAGATGTTACTTTAATAAAATAAAAATAGTATGCCTATAATGATAAGTACCTCCTCTATCTAATGGTGTATTTTTCAACTGCCCAAGACCACGGGAAATGGGTATAAAATGCGTTGGAAAAAGGGCTACTTTTAACTTTTTTGAACTTCGACTTTGTCTGATTAATTCATAGAATAATTTATTTTTATGATTCATTTTAGATCGTACAAAAGTTGGATAATGTATCGAAAATCATGCTCGTGAAAAAATTATTTAGATTTACTTAAAATCCAACGATCGTTACAGTTTTTACTAAACCTCAAACTTAAAACGGCTCATTTTTTACACAAATAACGTGTTTGACGACACAAATCACGGATCTATCTGTAGTTTCTATCTCTAAAGTTTAGGCATTTCGCACACCAAATAAATATTGTTATATAAAAATATGTATCACCCATTATTCGCGGAAGGTATTTAATTTCATGTATACGAAATATTTATCTGATCCGATAACGATTAAGTATTCATTTTTCAGTTTAAAAATACGAAAACTGCTAAAACGGGGCTAATATTGAGACAAAAATTACGTGTGACGTAATTATTTCATTAATCATGCATTTTCTTCATAGTAATCTGGAATTAATTTTAAGGATCAATATTTAATGCAAAATATATATAAGACGACCACAGCGTGAGCAATGTATCGAATTTTAGGCAAACAAAAAACAAGAATGATTCAATTGAACATGAAAAATTGTTACAGTTTTTACTAAAATGAAAACTCTTAAATGGCGTCATTTTAGCCCAAAATCCAAGTTGACGACTTAAATAGTTCACGGATGTACTTCAGTTGACATCAAGCTTGAACATGAAATTCGCCCATTGAAATTCCAAATAAAACGATCGAAATGACATAAGTCTCGTAAAGGCGTATTGAATAATGTGTACGCCAAATACCATATTATGAAATTGAAAAATCAATCTACGATAAGACACTTTGTAAATAGTATTAGGGTTTAAAGATACGGACATTTATGAACAATTAACCTATTCTAAAGACGGATCGTATTCATTTCTTAAAGACGAATGTTCGAAATTCAAATTCAAGATGCCCATTTTGTGTAGAAAATATGTTTTCATCCGATCACACTACACATGTTCCAAATAACAGCTAAGAGAAAATTCATTGATATTGGATGAAGTGGATGGATTTGGTATATTTCTTTGCAATGTGGGCGCATTTAAAACAGCGCCATATTTTACGGCACAATTTCCGCTGGCCTGTTAATCTTTTTTAGCGCGTCATTCCAATCGGAATGATGATTATATGTATAGATTCCGCATTTTTAGAATAGACAAGAGTGTAATTTTTTCCTCTTTCACTTAAAATATTCTCATTTATGATATGGAATAGTTCACACTTCATGTACCATGGTACTAAACATGTTATATGGACATTAAACTCACGAACACGTACTGTGCTCCAATTTTGACTGATTTATGTAAATCCAAGAGAATCGTCTTAGCTTCTTATGCGCGCTGTAAATGAATTTTTATACTAGTCTACATAATATTTTTCTTAATTGTTTCTCATTAAATTCGAAGTCATATAATAGAAACAAAATCGTAAGTCAAATATTTTCCAGCTGTACACCAAACACCCACCAAATTAGATCATTATGTAAATGTTTGGGAGGAAAAAGAACAGTACTATATGGCTCAAATGACATTTAATGTCATGATGTATGTCCATTTTTGTGATATATTTGTCATGATCACTCTGTACTGAACTCAATAAGGAACTAGAAAATGGCAACTCCACGGAGTAGCAAATCCCAACGAACACTATATAAATCATCAATCTGTACAGTCACAAAATAATATTTACCATCTACTCTTACCTTCAATAAATATATTAAATCATTGTAGCATCATGTAAATCTAAGAAATGGCGAATTTCTGCTCTAGTCAGCCATTTTGAATTTTCAAAGACGCAAATCAGAAAAACAATGCCATAATTGTGATCTACTCTGAAATACCTTCAATTTGAGTATAATATAGCCATACTTTTAAGAGATCAGAAAATAATTGCGAAATCACGCATTAGGCGGCCATTTTGATTTTTTAGGCCCCAATCAGAAAAACGCTACGATATTTACAATCTACTCTAAATTGCCTTTCATTTGAGTATAATAAAGCTATACATCTCAAAATTAACGCAAATTCCTGTTTTCTCAACCCCCATTTACGGCCCCTGGGGGTCAGGGTGAAAAACTCGGGATATATATGTGAAATAGACAGATGTTAATATACTGCCAAAATTTCAAATAATAATATTTATTATTTTGGTTTAAAATGAAAAACGTAAGATTTTTGTGAAAAATTCCCGGCATTTTCAAACTGGCGGCCATCTTGAAGAAAAATTTGCGTAAAACTATTCACCAATATACATCTTTCCATTAAATATGAAGAAAATCTGTTGACTAGTATTCGAGTTATCCTCCGGACAGACGGACGAATTCAAGTTCCAACATGAATACCAGGATAAGTTCTCTTGGCCTCCAGTGTGACTGACGGACAGACGGACGGACGGAGGGCTTTACTATATCCCTACAGAACTTCGTCCGTTGGGATAATTAAGATACAATAAGTACGTATTTACATTGCTTTATTTCTTTTGGTGTAGGGCATACTGATATAGGCCTACAACATACAACTTAATTGCAATACAATAGGAAATATGTCACAACTACTTGACTCTATGAATATAGCATTTAAAGCATTAATACAATGTGAAATTAAAAATGATATCATGTTTGTTGCATAAATCATTAATTCAGGATCGGCAAGCAAATTTAGTTCTGTCATTTATTCAATTCAATTTATTTCATAATTCTTATTTAATAATATTTTATTAATATTACTTGTATAATCTTATTTTATCTAATATCATATCCATGTCTAATACCCAATAACCCAACATAAAGGACCAGGGTAAGTATGGCAAGTGATTTTAGAAGGTCATTATATCTTTCACCATGAGTACTTTCTCAAAACCTGTAAAGTGGAACACCTCTTTAAATGGAACACCTCCACAAGTGGAATTGTTGGAACTTCACTTGAAAGAAAGCACATTGTTTTAAATAAAAATTAGTACCGTGGGTACTGGGCTCACATGGTGTTGCTCAAAAGTGAATGATGGCTAAAATGACAGAAAATAAAAAAATGGATGTGATGTTTTTGCTGATTTTTTGTAACAAAATTATTTCATACAACTACTCTTTACAAAGACATGGCTTTTACAATGTAGGACATCTGGAATTATTCATAAAGCTAGGAAATGGGCCAAAAGTGAATTTCACAAGACAAAAATGGTGGCCGTTTTGAAAATAGGCGAGCTTTTGAAGCAGAAGTCACACACACTACCCTACCACGTGACCACGTTTAAAATGGAAACAGGGTACAGTTAAGTTGAAAATGGAGGACGTGGGTTTAATTCCATATTTCTGAACGTAAAATACATTTTACATTTATTTCTAGTGTTCTACCAGACATAGAATTGATTCATCAAGCAGTTTGTAGAATATTGTTGGCAAAAAAAACCTATAGGCAAAGATAGATAATAGTGGGCGCAGTGAAGCAAAACTCAACACAATACACGATACATTTCAGTAAATCTGTCGACGTACAGGGAGCATGTAAGTTTCCCTTCGAAAATGTTACATTGATATGTAACAAAAAAAACAGTTAACTATTATCTCAACTGCGTGTCATCGTGTTATAGGTGGATACGTTTTCTAGTATGTTATTCAACTGTATTTTTGTGAATTTGAACAAAACATTCTAAATGATCGTTTTTTGAGGACGGTAGTGAATTATACCATTCAAGGGGTTATATAGAACGATTCTTCACATGTAGTTCAGGCAATTTTAATTATTCTGAGTAGCGGATAGCCATTAATACTGATAGCGGATAGTCATTTATATAATTATCATTAACGTCTTAACATTTAATTTTGTTATTTTATTTCAATTTGATACCCTAGTAACACGTATAATCTAGCGTTCTTGTTTATTTTATGACTAAAATGCATACGACCTGAAAGCCTGTGTCTAAATCTACAAAATAATGTTTACTTTATTTGGATTAAATAACAATTGATGACACCCCAAAGCATCAACAGGCGACCTTTTTAGCATTACATTCACTGTTTGCAGCGTAAATGTACATGATGTCGGAACATAGTATGTCTGTATAATCAGCTTACTTTCTCGCTCCCTGTACTATTGAACAATTAACATTCCTTGTACCCTGTATTGATCAACTTTTGCAATTGTGTACCGTGGACTATGACATATCAAATATTTTAAAATTTAAAACGATATTATTTTCATTCTTTCTATAACTATCATATAACTTGGAACATCGACTTCACTATTGCACCACTGAAGTGTAGCGAATAGCAATATTGACTCACTCTGAGCACCAAACGTATTAACCTTTTGAGTAAGCAGTCGATATACTCAAAAGCGACCTGATTGAAAGCCCAAAAATTCGCGCATGCGTGATCGAGGTAGGGTAGTGTGTCACAGGGTTTTTTTCTTTATTGATGCTGAACAAAAATATTCTAAAACAGGAATCCTATCTACAGAGGATTTAAAAAGAGCCAAGTGTTGACAGACATTGGTTTTTAAACTTGCCACTATCTTGGACTGACTGAAAGACAGATGGACAAATAAATGTTAACTAAAATGGCTGAAAAAAAAAATCGGATATGATTTTTTGCCGATTTTTTGTTACAAAATTATTTCATACAACTACTCTTTACATTGACATGGATTTTACAATGCAGGACACCTGAAATTATTTTGAAAGCTAGGAAATGGGTTGAAAGTGAATTTCGCGAGACAAAAATGGGGGCCATTTTGAAAATAGGCGAGCTTTTTAACCAGGAGTCATAGGGGAGTTTTCTGTATTTATGTTGAACATAAATAACTTAAAACGGGAATCTTATCGACAGAGGTTTTCAGGCAAATGGTCCAAAAGTGGATTTCGCCAGACAGATGGACAAATCCATGTTAACTAAAATGGCTGAAAATAAAAAAAACGGATGCAATTTTTTGATGATTTTTTGTAACAAAATTATTTCATATAACTACTCCTCACATTGACATGGATATTAAAAATGCAGGACACCTGACATTATTTGTAAAGCTAGGAAATGGGTCAAAAATGAATTTCACAAGACAAAAATGGCAGCCATCTTGAAAATGGGTGAGCTTTAGAACCAGGAGTCGGAGGGGAGTTTTCTGTATTGATGTTGAACAAAAATAAATCAAAACGAGAATCCTATCTACAGAGGTTTTAAAAACGTGCCACTATTGTTGATGGACAGACCGACGGATGGACGCACGCACGGACGCACGGACAGACAAGTGAGTGATTGCAAAAGCTCACCATGTGAGCTAAAAACCACTGCCCTTTGGCAAGAAAGTACTAATGGATTAAGATATGACTGTCCAAAATCACTTGCCATACTGTACCTGGTCCTTTGAAACAGACCCAAACATAATTTTTTATCATACAAAAATCGAGTAAAAAGGACTTGTTTATAGAGTGACAAAACACCATGGTAGTGTACAAGGTCAAATAATTTTTTTAAAATTTCATGAGGCATGTTTTAGCAAAAAAATGTTCCTTTAACCCACCTAGGAGAAAAGTTGAGCTTGTTAAAGTTACTGACATGCCCAAATTTTCAGTAGTTTTGACTTGAAACGATAAATCCTTGTGTTCTTATAAAATGAATTTCTTCATTAATAATGGTTCAATATACTTAAAAGTAAGCTCAAAATACTGGGAATTGAATAATCTTTCCAATAATACCTTATACACATATGATTGTTTATTTCAGAGATCATAAAGACAACACATTACATTTATTTGAGATCTAATGTTATATAATGTGTCCATACTTTAGGCAGCCAGTTTGAGGGAAGAATCAGAAAACAATATAATAATTGTGATCTACTCTAAAGTTCCTTCAATTTGAGTATAAAAATAGTCTACTTTGAAGAGATGGGTGAAATATTGTGAAATTCCCTATTAGGTGGCCATTTTGAATTTTCTGAGGATCAAATCAGAAAAACAATACCATTATTGTGATCTACTCTGCAATGCCTTCAATTTGAGTGTAATATAGCCATATAGCCTTATTTTTGGAAGTGGTCGGGAAATTGTGAAATCCCAATTTAGACAGATGTATTTTGTGAATTTACTTCCAAAATTTCAAACAGAAATATTCACCACTTTGCTTAAAAATTTTAGATTTTCACAAAAAATCCTGACATTTTAAAGTGGTAGCCATCTCGAAAATTGTTTGTTTTGCTTAAAACAATTACCAATACACATCTTTCCACCCAATGTGAAAAAAATCCATCCACTAGTATCTGAGTTGTTCAATGGATGAACTGGGGGCTCACTATATCCCTACCAAACCTTGTTTGTTGGAATTAAGTTAACTGTCCCAACACTACTGTCATATGGTTGGTTTAGACTGTTGAAGCTGACACAGGAGGGGAGTAGGAAGACTGTTGTATTCATAGTCAATGTTAAGAAATTTCTAGACAGCAACAGAAGTCCAGCTGATCCCACAGGATACTGTTTGACCCTCTTGCTCCGAAGTCAAAGTATGCTGTCATCAAAACATCCTTTCAATAGGCCATTCAGTTGTTGCTTTTACAAAATCTGAAAAATGAGTAGTCAAGTATCAGAAGTCTGCAATTTTACAGTTTGAATCTTTCTGCTTAGATCTATCGAGTGGAAATGATTCAGGAAAAGACCATCACAACAAAACAAACATGCACAGCACCTTCAATATGATTAACAGTTTTGGTGTGATTGCCTTTTTCAATCGTTTTTTGAAAGATTTGGTCCTGTCACCTTATCAGTGTGCTCAGTGGCATTTCCATTGAGCCAAAGCATTCATTCTGGAGGTTGTTGACCATAATGCACCAAGATGAGATATTGCATAGAAAATCAATTAGTCAGCATTTAGATCTGGGGTATCATTTCCATTACCCCAAAATACCATTTAGGTTGTAAAATAGAATGTGCTAATAAAGGTTAAAACAGAAATTATTTACCTGATATTATGAAGGCCTGCATAAAAAGTTATTGTGAAATCCATTGTCTTCTAACAGCCACAGTACCAATTCATTCCTGAAACTGAAAATTATTATACAAATATTAAATAATACATAATTTTAAAGTTCAGAATGGAATCCAAAAATTCTATTATAAAATATATGATCATTTTAAGCAAGGAAAAGAGAGAACATTTATGTTACAGCAGCAGAGAAGATTCAATCTATGTATTAGCTAGAATAAGAAGTTATGAGACAAGAATGATGATTAATAGTCTATTTCTACACAATTTTTAATCAGAGTTGAAAATGTTTATCTTTTTAACCCAAATGGCAATGGGTTAGGTACAACACAATGAATTTGAATTCGTGTTTTATCTCAGTGAAATTTACCTGCGCCTTATACCATATACTACATCTGACGCTTGCATATGACCCTAAACTTCCAAAATGCATGGTGAATATAATATAGACTAGAATTTTCTTATTTTCATCCTATGATATCTCTAACATTTACAAATAAAAATATCAAGAAGCTAAACCAAATCTTTCTGAAACAATGAAAATATCAGTTTGCTCAAATTTCATCACTCTCATGTTCATAGGCCCAGGTTAAAGTATTAGTAAGTCTAATATTATATGCAAAAGTTTGAAAACACTTTGAAGAATGTTTAAGTAAGTTTATTCATTACTTCAGAGAATATTTATCCCATTGAGACTTTCGACTAGTATCCCCTAGTCTTTTATATAATATATAAACCAGAGAGATGAACTTACATAGAACCACTTTGAAGAAGATTTTGGACAGATTTGGGAATACATGTACAATTTGATACCAGTTAGGAGAACTTGTACCTGAGACTGCGAGATTTTTAAATATTTCGACTGAAGTGGGGCACCTGTGAATATTATATTGGACTTACCGGATTTTCTCGCATATACGCCCCCCTAAATTTAGGCCCATGGGCCAAAAATCGAATATAGTACGCTTATACGCCCATGGGCCTATAAAAAATGACTATTTATTGATTTTTTCAATAAATTCAAGAGTATTTTGTCACTGGCAGATCGTTCTGTCGTACTTTGTTTCATTGTATTAACATTCATTAACAACTTAACATTCCATTGTATTCATCAGCTCTTCTCACCTTTACGCCCACTGGGCCAAAAATCGAAAGTAGTACACTTATACGCCCATGGGCGAAAAATAAGAGGTAAAATAACAGACGAAATTGCCCCTTCTTTTAGTTATACGCCCAGGGCTTATATGCGAGAAAATCCGGTACTTATACTAAACTTTGACCTGGGCCTAAGTTCATGCTGTACCTTATCAGGCCCGTAGCAAGGCCCCTCTTTCAAAATTATGCAGTTTTCACCAGTTCAAGCACCTTTTGCATGAAATTTTAACCAAAACTGTCAAAAAGCTCCCCCTTGGTAAAACCACTCCCATTGGTAAAAAGTGTCTACAGGCCTGCATATCCCAAACAATCAACTGTCAAGCTTACTTTTTATAACATGGGAAATCCTAACTTCAGCAAGTCCAGCTGTGCCATTTATTTATGGTGAGCGCTGCATGTGATGATAAGGTAACAGAATTACATGTATGTCTGACACAATTGGTGATGCTTGCTCTTGATGTTCCAACATGTTGTCATCCCATGTACTTTAGTCTAAAGGTCCGTTGACTTTTCATCCATTCCTCTCAACTCAGCATAATTCTAAAAACACCTTCCGTCCGATTTGGAACTCTAAATTTTTAAATCTTTCACTTTCAGCCTCCTAGTAGTCACATTGAAATGAACAAGACACTTCTATATGTCTGTGATATGTAACTTAAGTTTCTACATATTTAATGATGTAGTATATACATCAAATATATGAGGTTTATTGAATCTAGGTCTAATCTAAAATATATTTTCTTTTTTCTTTCGAGAACCGGAACAAACAAAAATCCACAAAATTGCACTCACGTTAGTTGCCCTTCCACTTCCGGGTACGTACAGGGTAAGTCAATGAACCTGTCATTGATTATTTATATTCTAACGGCTCTCATGACAATTAAAACCATTTTTCTTAAATTAAATAGTTTTAGATTAAGAAAATTATTCAAATTAATACTGTTTAAATTGCAAAATAGACAAGTACTTTGACAGGGCTTTGTTTGTTTTGTGTAAAACGGCACAATATTGGTTTCTCACTCCGTATAGTTTAAGAGGTCAATATGTCATGGTCAATTGTTCTAAAAATACAGCATCAAACATCACAAAAGTAAATACTTTTCCAAATAAGAATATAATCTTCAGCTGTAAATACATTTAAGTCTACATTCTTCAGTTTTATAATGAGAAACATATGTTGAAAGTGATGACACCAAGTTTTACTTTAAATGACAAATCCGACGTCAAAACGGAATCAATATTTTTCACAAATTTTAAACATCATTTTCGAATAAAGTTTTATTAGTTGTATTAACGTTTTATTTTAGAAAAAAATCGCTACAATATTTAAAAAAATATTGATGATACCACACGTGAAATTTGAGATTGATCTATAAAAAATTGACAAATTGTTACAGTTTTAAGCCAAAGAGGTACGCGACCAAAAATGGCGTAAAAATGAAAGCGAATCACGTCGTAGGGAATGCAGTCAATTTGCTTTCCTGATTTAAATGATAATATCTTGGTATATCCTCATTACATTTATTTCTCAAAATTGCATAATTTGAAACCCAAGAATAAATACTACAAATTGTGAAAATTTAAGACTCATTGAGAACGCACTTGTAAAAGAAAAGCAAATTATATACCTTGTTTACGTTATCCGAGAACGTCTTTGATGACGCCATAAGCTCAAAAATGGCCATTTTTAAAAAGTGACTCACCTAACTTTGAGATTTACGGAAACTACATTGAAATGATCATAAATTCCCAATTTTTTCACATAAATTAAACCACATAAGGGAGTCAATATTCAGAAAGTTTGAGGAAAAAATATCCAAAACTGTATGATCGTTACAGTTTTTGCTAAAATGTTGAAAAAATAAGATTTTTTTTGTCCAAAAAAAGTTTATCGGCCGGCGCGATTTTTCTACCTCCAATTCTTTTCAATGTGTGATTTAATTTAATTCATTCCATAGATCTAGATATAATCTACCATCCCACCAAATATCATAAAGATATGCAAGAATATGAATGCGCATGAGCCGTTCAACTTTTCATGTATACACTGAATTTTTTCTTGAGAATGCCGTCATAGAATATAGTCCCGCGGAAGACCACTAACTTTTTTTTAATAATCACCGCTTTTGTGCCGTCGGCCTCCTAGCTGTTAATAAATTCTTCTATACCATACAAAGGATTAAATATACAATTGAAAAGAAAAAAAATCAGAAATGTGATTCCAATATGATTACGGTCGCCTGGGCCCCATTAGAGTTGTTGAATTAAACCTTTCATCTCCAAAGTGTCATTTTTGAATTAAATTTAAATCAATTATTTAAAGATTATCAAAACGCTTATACTAAGAGAAAATATTACTTCTTCATCAAAATTTCATTTTGCGACAGTGGAGCTTCATGATAACCAAACTCCTTTTTAAAATAATCAAAGAAGTTTACTATTTCATTGCATATATAGAGGATATCCTATTTCTTATGAGTGATATGATTTTTATGCACGAATGGATATGATATCTGCACGAGCGAGCGTAGCGAGAGAGTGCAGATATCAATATCCATGAGTGTTGAGTCTGTAGCAAAAATCCATAAACCATCGCATACGGCGCCGTATGTCATGGCTAAAAAACGGTATGCCATGGTTAAGTGAAAATTTGTCAAAAATATCATATTTTACCACTGATTACAAAAATACCGTTTTTATTTTCACATGTTATCCTATGAATATCATGCTAACTATGGAATAAAATCAGATGTTCCATTTGAGGTGAAGTGTAAACATTTCATGTTTTGTAATTTGTTATCTTAAGATTTCTCATATTCTTCAGATTTTACTAAACATTTAAAAATGAGTCCGTGAAATAGTTTTATTCATAGTAAGACTAATATATACCAAGACATTTTTGGGCCAAAAAATTGGGTAAGGCCTCAAAAATGGGCCTTTTTGGGCATAATTTGGCCTCTTAGGCCATCCTAATGGTGTTAGAAATGTGAATTTAATTTCCCACTCGAAGATGACATTCCTCAGGCATGTCGTTCGTAGGGGATTTCAGCGCTCCATTTGTCGCAACTTAATTGAAGCATCTTGTTTTTGATCAAATGCAGATCATTCATGGTTGAGAAAACCATCAATGAATAAAACAAAGGATTTAATAAGACTCCATGGAGATACATGTGTCGTGTGTTTTGGGTTTCGAGGCAAGATGTTTAAGATACGTTAAACGCCAGTGCAAAGGTCAATATTTAAAAAATATTCCAGTTTTCCTGATGGAATCGTGATACCGAGAGAGACCCCAAAATCCCCTCCTGGTTAAACCGACATTTTTATCATTTTGTATTAAATATGTTTAAAGCCCTAGTGGTGATTACTGGATTGGGTTGAAAAAGCTTAATAACAATGATGAGTGGATAACCGGCGATGCAGTTACATGGGCAAGTTGGGGTAGCTCACAACCAGACTCCGGGGCAGGAACGTGTGTCCGCAGTAAAGATAGTGGGCAATCTAGTTGGGAGACAGATGCGTGCAGCGGATTGCACCCTTTTGTTTGTGAGCAAGAAGGTACATATGAATTATAGCTAGACATGCCAAACTTATATAAAAATATGATAAAATTAGTTTAAAATTCGGGATTTATTCACTCGTATCGGTTGCCGAAATAGCTTCATGTAATGAAAAAAAAATCTCACAAGTTCGAGGTAGCGATGCTAGAGCTTCAAGGAACTATACATAGAATTCTGAAAGTCTTTAACCGTTCAAGTTAAAGTGACAGTGAGGTGGGACTCAGTCGAACAATACTGGAAAGTCTAGTCCAACAATATTAGACCTAGCCTGGGCCTCGTTTCTTATCTGACATGTCTTATTGCCCGGCTAGGTCTAACCTCCATGATCATTCTGCTTTTGATGCGTTAATTTAATCGTTCCGCAGGTTTCGACAAGCGGAACTAATTAAACCCTGAAAACATGGTAAAATTATACATAAAGAATGTGATTCAAGCATGCATACATACCTTATGAATACATACACACCATCCCATATCCCCCTTTGACCCCATCGATGCATAATTACGAAAATATTGAAGACTGGTTTGGAATATAACGAAATGTCGGTCAGTTCTGGTAGCATCGAAATTGCAAATCGTATCAGAAATTAACCGTCATTGCGGCACTGCAGTACTCATCAGTAGGTTTGCAATTAATAAATAGTTTGCGTATATACACGCGCTATATAAATCAATCAAAGATACCTGTTATCCTCAAAATCGATCTTTTTATCCCGAGTAATCGCGATAATAATTATCAATCTATTTGACAACAATTTTGTTTCGCTAATAGTTAATTTTAACCCGGGACACCCGGACGAACAGACACAATGAAGGACATGCGGAAATGTGATCTTAGAGCTTGGTAAATGTAGCCTCATTTTACGAGCAAAAATGAACATTTAACACAATAATATTGTGTTAAATCGCTTGATGTTATGTGTTTTATATTACTCTCAAGTATCAGTTGCATGTTATCGCGGAAAAATGGTTTCGATGGATCCAGAACTTGCAACTAAGGAAAGAATAGTAAGGAGGTTAAACTCAATAACGGCCAGGAAAATTCCTAATAGTAGAGAACGCCGTTATTGAGTTTAACTACGTTGAACTGCTAGCTTGAGACAGCATTTACTAACACTTAGATGCAGGGTTTGGGAGAAATTGAAATAAGAAATAGAATTTAAACGAAAATCCAATACAACTTGCACCTAAGTATATTCCCAGCGGAGTGTACAGTTACACATGTATATTGCTACAATGAACCTTTAGATATACTGGCTTTAATAAAGGGGCTAATTTATGTAAATTAGTTGCGTCAAACAATCTGTTGATAATGAGCATTCCTGACTTATCACTCATGATTAGTAGAGACTACCCCTTTCATTTGTAATCTTTCCCAACAACAAGAGACGTCCTGTACATGTTCATATTTTTACCTCACTAACACATAAATAATTCACGGTGACCAAGAGTTAACAGTGCAAATCGGCCCGGTCGTGTTTTTTTAAACTCTTTAGTCGTGTTTTGTAAGAACATGGGATGCGACATTCGATAGAATGGAGCAAAATGGTAAGAATATTCTATATTTTACAAACTTACATATCTTGACTTCTACCTAAGATGTTCTTCTTCATACCAACGAATCTATTTTGGGGATAAATCCATCATACTTCATATCAATCGCAATTATATACCAAAAGTGCCAGAAATATGTACTTAATTTGCATTTAGTGTTATTTAATCAAGTTTAAACAGACAATCCATTCAACAACGTGGAATAATATTCACTACTCTAAAGATCGTGTAAATATTTTAACTGTATTTATCTTAAAATTGCCATAAATGACCGTAAATGTAGAAAGTGGAGTTAACTATGGAGAAGGGACAATATAACGTCATGGACGTGTCTTATAATAAGCATGTTAACGTTTTGGAATTGTAAAGATAACGTTTTAGACGTGATAAGATTAACGACTTTGAATTGTCTTGTAATATTGTTCACATTGACCATGTTTTGTTGCTTAATAATTTGTCTGTGCTTCTGAAAATAATCGTATTAGTACTAAACACGGGAATATACATTATGTGTCACCCGTTTATTGTAATTTGTAGTCAAGATATGAATAAATAAAAAAGACAGATATATGATTTAACATATTACACTACAGTTCATAGATCACTCATAGAACGATAGCAGCATATGTAGCGTTTTTTACCTATTGCAATTTGAAAATTAAAATTGAAATTGTATTGCATTGTGTGAGGCGAATTAGGGAATAACATCGAATCAAATTGTTAAAAATCCTGAGGCAAACCTAATAGATATTGAGCATACGATTTTAATAACGGTGGAGTTATTCCTTACATTAGGTGATCATATATGCATTTACATGTAGTGCATCACAAACTAAACATTTCCTCTCATTTTAAATAAATTTATTTCGTTCATGACAGGGAAAAGTGAGTTTAAGGCCAATAAGGACGTTTTAAAACGTATTTTAGGCAAATTCAAAAATAGCAACGAGCCATTTAATGAGCGACAGGGCAATTAAAAAATAAGATGACTGGTCAAATTTTCAAAATGACGAGCGACGAGGCAATGCTCGCTTGCATTAACCATGCGTGTCTGATTCTAACCATTTTGATTTAAGTATCAAATTCGGTAGTGATCCTATAGATCAATCTTGACATATTATGTCGTACATTTGATTATTGTTAATCATTTATAATTAAGATAGTGTCACTCAGACAACAACTTCTTCCACATTGTGATCATTTTTTGGGAAATACATAATGTTAATTGTGCTGTTTCCCACTGCCAAATCGTTAAACCTCAATGTCTCTACACGTCTAGAACGTTTCACTAACAGGTCAACGTCATTAACCGCAATCTTTTCAACACGTCTAAAGAGTTTAATCTAAAAAATATTATTCGGTCAATTGCTACTTATTTAAGCTCTTCTAACTTTTGATTTTCGCACATATTGTGCATGCTTTCCTTATGAATCGATGTATTCATTGAATACAAGTCAGGCAAGTGATTTTCAGGCAAAAATATGTATAACACTGACAGAATTGCTCATTTCCCGATATAACAAGACTGTAGCATACGATTCGTGCAAATAACACGTTTACGAATACCTGAAGTTAAGATATATGGAAGTATGGAGTATGGAAAGCAATATAAATTACTTACTTTTACATAAAGTCAAGTGACAGCAATTTCATGACCAAATTTATCAACCTACCTCTCAAATTTTCAACAAAACACGACTAAAGAGTTTAAAAAAACACGACCGGGCCGATTTGCACTGTTAACTCTTGGTCACCGTGTAATTGTTACATCGTACCGTAGGAACAGGTGGAAGTTGTGCCACAGACTGGGATACGTATGGAAGTAACTGCTATCTACTGAGTGGGTGGAAATCACTTTCAAGCAGATCTTGGGCAGACGCACAAACCTATTGTGAGAGCCAAGGAACTCACTTGGCAGTGGTGACAACATGGCCAGAAAACAATCAAATGGCAACTTGGGAGTAAACATCTTTCGATTCGTAGCGACTCTTGATCGCATTGAAAGAAAATAGATTTTAAAAGTTCACAGCTTCGAATTTCTCAATCTTAAAATTTTGACACGAAATGCAGCCCTATAATTTTTTTTAAAAAACGTATTGAATTCAGAAATTTTAGATTAAGAATATATTTCCTTACATTTTTTAAAAAACGTAGTGAATTAAGAATTTTTTAGATTAAGACTATATTTCCATTACTTTTTTTCTTTAAGTGTGACAAAGTGACACTTTTATTGTTTTCGACTATTATTAGCATTGTTGACAAATGCAAGTTTGGAAGTTTGATTCATCTTTTTTACCAGTTATTGTCAAATAAGCACACCATTTTTATTCATTCCAGTCAACGTAATGCATATGCACGATTTGTTGATGTAGTGGATATTTTGATAATTGGTCACCTTGTTAGATTTCAGCGTACATGTATATACTTGAGAGTCTTTATGGGTATAAGGGCAAAGGATTGGTATCGATATGGTGAACTGAATTCAACAATGTTTTTCTCTTAAACCAATTATCGAAAACATTTTGTTAACACGCTCTTTTATGTAATGTTGACTGATTGACAACAATTTAATGCTAAAATTATTTATATATATTTTATCTAACTGTTTTTGTTAACATTTTTTGTTTTTTGGTGCAATTGTTTTTTGTTGGCATTAACAACATTTTCTTAGCCCTCTCAATATTATAGTAATAAAAAGCAAATTTTGATTGATTTAAGAAAAAGTATTCAAAAAATTGAAACGAAACCCCCCAGAATATATAACAATTGATACTTTTTATTTCATTAACAAGATACGTTTTTAAATCAACCAAACTTTCCTTTGTACAATTACAATATTGATAAACCTAACGCGTTGTGTTTATGTCATTTTGTTCCAAATGAGGTTCGGAAAGATTTTTCATTTCATTCCGAACATATGATACCAAGAACAAAAGAAGTGTCTGATGTGTTTTCTTAACCAATATAAAGAAAATAGTTTTTATCGCACCCTAAGGTGCTATATTGTAATCAGTTTGCCGGGCGGTTGGGCGGGCGTCCCGAATAATCTTGTCTACAGGTTTCCAGCCAAACCGCTTGAGGGATTCATTTGAAATTCTCAGGGATGTTTCTACCTATGAAAGTTTAGAACTGATTACTTTTTCGGCATTCTGGGTAAATGTTAAGGCGGCCATTTTGGATTTTCCGTCCTAAAATCTTGTCTAGATCTGTCAAGGCTTGTCTACAGGATTCCAGCCAAACCGTTTGAGGGATTCATTTGAAATTCTCAGGGATGTTTCTACCTATGAAAGTTTAGAACTTATTAGTTTTTCGGCATTCTGGGTAAATGTTTAAGCGGCCATTTTGGATTTTCCGTCCTAAAATCTTGTTTGTCAAGGCTTGTCTACACGTTTCCAGCCAAACCGTTCGAGGGATTCATTTGGAATTCTCAGGGATGTTTCTACCTATGAAAGTTTAGAACTGATCAGTTTTTCGGCATTCTTGGTAAATGTAAAGGCGGCCATTTTGGATTTTTCGTCCTAAAATCTTGTCTGTCAAGGTTTGTCTACAGGTTTCCAGCCAAACCGTTGAGGGATTCATTTGAAATTCTCAGGGAAGTTTGTACCTATAAAAGTCTAGAACTGGTTAGTTTTTCGACATTCTGGATAAATGTTAAGACGGCCATTTTGGATTTTCCGTCCTAAAATCTTGTCTGTCAAGGCTTGTCTACAGGTTTCCAGCCAAACCGTTTGAGGGATTCATTTGAAATTCTCAGGGATGTTTCTACCTATAAAAGTTTAGAACTGATTAGTTTTTCGACATTCTGGATAAATGTTAGAACGGCCATTTTGGATTTTTCGTCCTAAAATCTTGTCTGTCAAGGCTTGTCTACAGGTTTCCAGCCAAACCGTTTGAGGGATTCATTTGAAATTCTTAGGGATGTTTCTACCTATAAAAGTTTAGAACTGATTAGTTTTTCAGCATTCTTGGTAAATGTTAAGATGGCCATTTTGGATTTTTCGTCCTAAAATCGTGTCTGTGAAGGCTTGTTTTGAAAAATAAAAAATAATTTCCCTTTGAGAGCAATGTTAAATTAAAACATTTTTTTAGAAATACTAAACGGTTGTTTACAGGTTTCATGGATTCATCCTAAAATTGATGTTTCTATCGAAAGTTTAGAATTGATATGATTAGTTTTTAGGCAGTCTTGGTAAATGTTAAGGTGGCCATTTTGAATTTTCCATCTCGAAAAGTGTATCCTGTTCAAGGGTGCGATTCTGTTCACCGTGTGGCTTACTTTCAAATTATATTGCTACCATTCAAAAGATGACCAATGAATTGACGATGTGTAAATTTTCAGAATTTTTGATGACTGGTTTAAGAGAAACGTGTGTTCAAAAAGTTCACCAGATCGAAACAAATCCTTTACGATAATTGATATTTTCAAATGCAGTCAAATTATGTTATTCTACCGACGCCTGTGCAAATTGTGTTTATATCAATGACATTTATTGTGTGCTGTTTTAATGTTAACACAACTGGTTATCATGACCATGCGTTATACACTGAAACTATTGCTTATCAAGGACACAAACAAGGACTTTAGAGGGATTTCAAGAAATACTTCTCAAGAAAATAGTCTTATCTTTCATCATTAAAGGGTGAATGGATTAATGTGCCTAAAACAGCTGATCCATGGATATGTATCATTTTGAAAATAAGTAGCAAAACATTTTTATTTGGAGGCCATGTTTTTTAATGGTAACAGAAAATAGATTCTCTCAATTAAAACTGGATTTACATCATTGATCCTTATTTTGGCTTAGAATATTAGCTTAAATATGTATTTAATATCATAAGCATGATTATTGACTATTTTTTATTACTCTGGTGTAGTAATTCGAATATGTTACTTTTGGGGGTTTTAGATTATGGATACATCGTCTGTGTCTTACTTCAATTCTTAAAGCAGTTTTGATGATGATTTTTAGGCTTAAATCCTTAAGTGTTGACTTTCACAAACCACAACTATTTACATGATTTGCTATTTATGAAAGACAACACAAAATAATATAAAATTATAAAATAGATATAGTAACTACAAGTTTCCCTTATTACAATATAATCATTAAATATATACATTTGGCTTCAACCAAAAGTCATTTGTTTGCCGAAAACAAAAGCCTTTAGCAACTTTTATGTGATATAAAATACACCTTTCTTTAGATTTTTGATGCGTAACTTCAATTGTGAAATAAGTCTAAGTGCTAGACAGATAATACTCGTTTAACTAAATAGCATGAGAGGTGAGCGGCCATCCATGCGGTGCCATAGATAGGTAGCTGCTCTGGGCACTGTACTCCCTGTACTTATGGCTTTTGGAAGAAGTTTTGAATAAAAAGGGGTAGCTGCTCGAGGCACTGTACTACCCCTGCCAAATATAGGTAGCTGCTCTGGGCACTGTACTTTCTGTACTAATGGCTTTTGGAAGAAGGGTAGCTGCTCGAGGCACTGTACTACCCACGGGGTGACTTTAAAAGGTAGCTGCTCGGGGCACTGTACTACTTGGAAGTTCAAGTATGAATATCACCTACCGTCGAACAATCAGATAAGGAAGCCGTTCGCCGACACCCTTTCATCGGTGATAACGGGATAAGATAGTGCGCTCGGACTCCTATCTTGGATCGCAGTTATCCGACCCGAATGCAACACGTGTGTGATACCTGAATGTTGACGTTAGAAAGACCAATGACAGAAATCAGATAGATAAATACATTGATCCTTCGGTATAACTGAATTCATGTCTTGAAGCACTGATATGAATATGATATAATTACATTAATTGTAAATGAATGTAAATGAAAGATGGCCAAAAGCCGGAGCAGTTGTTTGCTGTCAAGTAAACGACTGGGACCCCAATTGACAATATCAATTATCGTAAATTTGCCCAAATAATGACGTTGGCTTGTTGTGCAAAAATTATGTGTTCCATAGAAGCAACTGAAAAATGTGTAGGACGATTTATTCATGGACTGCGTGATGTGTCATCCTAGTATCTGTTTTCTTGCATCAGTTAACTTGTTTTATTAAAGGACCACGGGTCATTGGTATGGTATGATACACGGAGGACGCTTTATTTGGAATGGAATTGGCACAAGTGCTGTGTACACTAGATGGGCTAGTGAACCAAGCCCAACTCTTACGTCTGCTGATGGTTGTATATTTGGTGATATCTCAGCCAATCTAGGAGACTGGAAAACAAAACAATGTGTTGGCCAATCGAAAGGGTATCTCTGTCAAACCAGTCCAAGTAAGATTCATTTGACTTTACTTAATTGTTAAATTACCACGGTTATAATTGACAATTAACATTGTTATATAATGAATCATATCCCATTGCTTATAAAAATCAAAATGAATCTTAAGTTATATTGACTAATATCAAAGAGTTCGGACAACTTTAGATTATATTTTGAAAGTGTGTTCCAATGTTATAGTTCTTTCCATTTCCGCAAGATGGGTATTCAATCCTATTTGTATCTCTTAAAGTCGATGCTGACGAGTGCATTCTGGGGACAGACACGTGTGATACAAACGCCTTGTGTACTAATACTATCGGAAGTTACACTTGTGCATGTAATACAGGATACAGTGGAGATGGAACTTCTTGTACTGACATTGATGAATGTTTAGACAATGCTGATAACTGCAACGCTGATGCATCATGCACGAATACACCCGGTAGTTTTGGTTGTTCATGTAATCTAGGATTTTCTGGAGATGGTGTGACTTGCTCGGATATTGACGAATGTTTGGCCAATACTGATAATTGTCATGTTAATGCGACATGCATGAATACACCCAGTAGCTTTGTTTGCACATGTAATGCAGGGTTTTCGGGAGATGGTGTGACCTGCACAGATATTGACGAATGTTCAGGCAATACCGATAACTGTCACGCTGATGCAACGTGCACAAATACACCCGGTAGCTTTGATTGTGTATGTAATGCAGGATTTTCGGGAGATGGTGTGACCTGCTCAGATATTGACGAATGTTCAGGCAATACCGATAATTGTCACGCTGATGCAACGTGCACAAATACACCCGGTAGCTTTGATTGTGCATGTTATGCAGGATTTTCGGGGGATGGTGTGACCTGCTCAGATATTGACGAATGTTCAGGCAATACCGATAATTGTCACGCTGATGCAACGTGCACAAATACACCCGGTAGCTTTGATTGTGCATGTAATGCAGGGTTTTCGGGAGATGGTGTGACCTGCTCAGATATTGACGAATGTTTGGCCAATACCGATAACTGTCACGTTGATGCAACATGCACAAATACACCCGGTAGCTTTGATTGTGCATGTAATGCAGGATTTTCGGGAGATGGTGTGACCTGCTCAGATATTGACGAATGTTTGGCCAATACCGATAACTGTCACGTTGATGCAACATGCACAAATACACCCGGTAGCTTTGATTGTGTATGTAATGCAGGATTTTCGGGAGATGGTGTGACCTGCTCAGATATTGACGAATGTTCAGGCAATACCGATAATTGTCACGCTGATGCAACATGTACAAATACACCCGGTAGCTTTGATTGTGCATGTAATGCAGGATTTTCGGGAGATGGTGTGACCTGCTCAGATATTGACGAATGTTTGGCCAATACTGATAATTGCCATGTTAATGCGACATGCACGAATACACCCAGTAGCTTTGGTTGCGCATGTAATGCAGGATTTTCTGGAGATGGTGTAACTTGTTCAGATGTTGACGAATGTTCAGACAATACCAATAACTGCCACGTTGATGCAACATGCACAAATACACAGGGTAGCTTTGGTTGCACATGTAATGTTGGATTCTCCGGGGATGGTGCAACTTGCTCAGATATTGACGAATGTTTGGCCAATACTGATAATTGCCATGTTAATGCGACATGCACGAATACACCCAGTAGCTTTGTTTGCGCATGTAATGCTGGATTTTCGGGAAACGGTGTGACTTGCTCAGATATTGACGAATGTTTGGACGATATTGACAACTGCCACGTCCATGCAACATGTACGAATACACCCGGAAGCTTTGTTTGCACATGTAATGTTGGAATTTCGGGAAACGGTGTTACTTGCTCTGATATTGACGAATGCTCATCAAATACTGATAACTGCCATATTCATGCAACATGCGCAAATATACCGGGAAGCTTTGTTTGCACATGTAATGCAGGCTTCAGTGGAGATGGCACTCACTGTAACGGTATGTATGATGATTAGATATCACCAGTATTCATGGAGTGGTTACTACAATAACCTTAAAAACCTGTTCAGTAGGCCTATCCGTCATATTAAAAGTAACGCATGTAATGAATTTAACGTCGGTATATTCAGTGATTAAATCATCTAAATGATGTTCGTGATTGGGGATTCCTAAATTGAATTAAAATAAAATTCCTGCTACATCCTCAAACCTATGATTTGGCCTTGAACTTAGCAAATATATGTTGATTGATTACCTGTAGACTAAGGTGTTTCCTTTTTCAAGAATGTTCTGAGATCACAACGGCCCTTTAACATGGGGTTACAAATGCTACTGGTAGTTCACTGATTTTTTCAACAAAATCGGATAACGTTAAAACTGGTCCGTCAGCCATTCTTTCCGTCGCATTGGATTACATTGTGGGCGACGCCCACTTTTCAATGGAAAACATTATTTCGCACTTCTTTGCTTATCATTTACCGGAAATGATCGGGAAATGTTTTCCTGTTATAAGCATTTGGATATACATTAAAACACTTTCAATTGATGCAAACTAGATTGTTCTAGCACTTTTTGTCACCGAGATATTGTCAGTTGTGTTGTCAGTCTCCTAACCTGTAGTCTACCGGGAGAGGGGGTCAAAAATAAAAATTGGTTTCAGCCACTTTTATTCTTAAAACATGTTTTATTAGATTTGCAAGGGGATATTTTGTTATTTTATGTTAAAAATTTTCTAAAATATTCAAATTGTTGACAGAAAAGAAAAACATTCGTGAATTTAACTGCCCTATATGCATTTTTTATTTGTTCGACCCCTGGGCCAGTACATAGATGCAATGTGACCCAATGTCTTTTCGATAAAAAGTGCTAGAACAGTCTAGTTTACATCAATTGAACGTGTTTTGATGTATTCTCAAATGCTTATATCAGAAAAATTGGTTCTCACCATTTCCGTTAAATGAGCAGCAAAGAAGTGCGAAACATTGTTTTCCATTGAAAAGTGGGCGTCGCCCATAATGCAATTCAATGGGACGGAAAGAATGGCCGATGGACCAGTTTTATTTGTTGAATCTTTCAGTGAACTACCAGCACCATTTGTAACCCCGTGTTAAAGGGCCGTTGTAATCTGAGAACATTCTTGAAAAATGAAACACCCTACTGTAGAGTGATGAAGATATTTTTATTTTCAGTGATCGACTCAAAATATAGGGAAGTTAGTGACTGTCTTAAAACTGCTGGAGTGAAACTTAAATCCTATATTTTGGAAACAGCTACGAAAAGGTCTCGAGTTGACTGCTCACGATGGTGTTGTTCAAACATATATTGCGTCGCTTTCAACTTTCAACGATATGGTAGCGCGAACAGTTCCACAGATAATTGTCAACTTCTGTCCCAGATCAAAGAGAATGTATCTCAAACTGATGTTGAAGCAGATCCTGGTTGGAGTTATTTTGAGGTCCAATGGCGTATCTGGACTTAAGAATTCAAAATAAGTGAACACATAACCTCCTTTGTTTGATTATCCCACCAAATGTAGTAAGAGGGAGATATTGAAAAGCCATCCGTCCGTCCGTCCATTCATCCGTCCGTCCGTCTGTCCGGGCGATAACTCAAACAACTATCTTTGATATTATTCAAATACCAGTGGATAGATTTGGTTCAAATTCTATGTGCTGATTCTTAAGGGGTGTATACACTGGCAGGCGAAATGCTTGAAACGGGAGGCGAAAAGGCCGAAATGCTTGAACTGATTGAAATGAAAGAGAATGTGAAACCGCTTAGGCGAATTGATTGAAACGATTGAAACAATTGAAACGATTGAAACGCTATTTACCGTGTATACAGCGCTTTAGGGACAAAGGAGCTCTGATGGAAAGAGAATTTTAATTAGATTTTCAAAAGGAGGTCAGATTATCAATTTTCTGTTTTTATTATTGTATTTGGTTCCTGTGAAACAACTTGGGCTCAACTGACCAGTTTGTAGCATAATTAGTCTGTTTTAAAAACTTGTATCCTTGAAATAACTTTGCAATCAGGCAATTTAGCCCTGAGAATAGATTTCCGTATTCATTTATATTACAGTTCCATTGACTTAGCATTAGGATATCATCATGTATCGACTTGATGATATCCTGATGTTAAGTCAATTATTCAAAATTTCAAATGAGCTGGGGATAATGCTCCTTCCAAACCTTTGGACAGCCTTATCTTGTCATGCTAGGCAGGCGACCAATTTCCCTTAATAAGTTGTTATCAATTGTATAGTTTTTAATCAACTTTGTACATTTACATTACATTACCTTCAAATATATAGTTCACCTCAATACATCAAATTGAAAAACGCACACAGCGTGGTACAAAAAGTAGGTCATATTTGATTGCATCCAATCAATATGAGTGCCTCCAAACTACAAGGCATGTACAAATTTTGTTAGAATATTGAATGTGAATATATTCTTAAACCTCAGAAAAGTACACGATTTTGGCAAAGAAATGACACACTCTTGGAATTGCCTGAAAATATATTTTTGGGTTGATTTAATTTCAAAATAAGTATGGAATCATTACCTTTATTATTTCATTTCAAAAATTTAACACATGTTCATACATTCATTGGATTTATACCTTATTTATAGTGACACTTAAAGTGACAGATTCTTTCAAGATGACCGCTATTTATCAAAATGGCCACCATTTGTCATTAAATGTAATCTTTGATAAATCACCCACGTATTTCGAATGACAATACCTAAATAAATCCATTGTCCTTTAAACTTTAAAGAGCGAATCAGATTAATTTTCAAGATTGTTTTTCAATTATGTGTTATTTCTTTTATTTTTTTTATTGTTATTTTTATTTTATGCATTATTTTTTTTTAATTTAATTTATGCATTATTCGGAAGAATTTAAACACTTTTAAGAATTCAAGCCCCTATTTCTAAAAACGATAATAACCATTGTTTTCATCTAGATTTTATTTGATACTTTTCATCATTAGTTTACATCTTATGTTAAGCTAAAATAATAAAATGAAACTGCTGATCAAAGAGCATTTTCTCATGGTTATGACGTCAGCGCCAAGTTCTAGTTTCGATTGTTATACTTTTTGTCATTGCTTTTGAGTGATTTTGTTTTGTATTACAAATAAATGAAGTCCTTTCATCCTTTTAGAAATATATATTAGTTGATAATATGTTTAATCAGTTAAAGATATGTTGTGCAATCTAATGTCATTCTGCTCCTCACAACTGCCCTTAACTATTTCAATTTCTAGTCTAAATCTATTTGTGTTGCGAATGAAATGTACCTCTCGCACAGAAACTATATATTATGGATGCCACACTAGATAAGAATTCAAGAAGCAATCAATAAAATTAAGATAGTATCAAATATCACAAATGAGATTCCAGTGTATTAATACAAGTCATTCGATATGTTGTGATTTGATGATGATTTAATTGAAATTAAATACAATACATATTACAGAAATAAAATTGCGATGATTCACCATTCTCTGACAAAGGGTGCAAAATTGGTATAATCTTAATTTGGCCATCACCTTTTCATGTGATTTTTACAGGGTGAACTTCAAGGCATTCTTAACAAACATTTATCAATTTTCACAAGGGGACATTACCTTAGTAATGTATCTACAATTAAGTGCCCTGCCTTTTGTTGTCTCGGTTGCTATACCAACCATGACTCTAGCTAGCCAATCAAATAAGAAAGGTTTGATATTAACGGGTAAGAATGGTGAGAATAAAGGGTTGCAATCTCCCCAACTTTCACCAACATTGGTACAACATCAAGAAGAGTATAGCATCTTTCAACTAATTTATTGGACACCCTGTAAA